GAACAAAAGGACATCAGTGTAGTCTTCGATCACTCCATTGGCATTCCAAGATAGCAGAATTGTTTCTTGCATTAGGGTTATTGTTTCGTCTGGATTTAAGTATATATGTTGCAACGTAACCAAGAAGGCTGCTGTACCGTGACCGCATCCTTACATCGGCGACGTATGAGAGACAAGTCTTGCTCGTTATCTGACCTCCATATTTTCGCCAACAGGCAAGGTTTCGGTGCCATAACACGGGGTATGAAGTCAATAGGTAATATATATTACAAAATCAATCAAGTGCGACGGTGCGGCAGGCAATTTTTATATAAGTTCTAGACAATGCACATCGGTATACAGCAGTCTGATGATGTCGGATGCTTTCAAGCAGGGGGAATTTTCGTGAGTTCACTGTATTTTTTAAGGCTTAAAACAATCCAAAATATGGGTACTTTACTACCTGTAGTTCACATTCACAACTCGCCCGGACAAGAAAACTACGATATGGCAATGATCCAACGTCTAGGATGTGTGCATTAATTTATGAAAAAGCCCATGTGGACAAACTATTGATCGTAACAGAATCTTTTCCTCAAGGTAGGAGAGGTTTCAAACTAGAGATCTTTGTAATGAGTTGTTCAATTTATTGACAACGATACTGCTTAACCACACTGCATGGACTAACAATAAACCGAAATAGCTGTCGTTTGAGACATAGGAAAGGTTACCATATTTTTCATTGAAGATTAGACCGGCCAGCGAACTTTTGGAACCTATGTTCATTTCAGTCATTGCAAAAAAGCATTGACTTGCTGGGTATCTCCTTCGTCAATACAGGCAGCTCGGACAGTCTGTCCCACTTCAACCGCACGGTATTCGCCACTCTCGATCTGAGCCTGGGCTTACTGAGCGCACAGCCGTCCATCAGTAACGCAGAGGAGTGCGCCAGAGAGTGTCTGGAAACAAGCGATTTCACCTGCCGTTCCTTCATCTTCAACGAGGTATGGACGCTCAATTCACAATGCGAGACCGCGTTTCGTTTTATCTTGGCGTTGGATTTGCATTAATATATGTGACCCAGATCCTTATAGGCGACGCTGTCATATTTTATCAGTGGCCTCTCAAGATGAGTTCTTAATGGGTAATAAATCGATCGAAACTCAGGTGTTGATAATCAAATAATGCCCCCTCTTACTGAGCATAGAGCAAAAAGAAAGAAGGCTCCAATGCATGACACAATGGACTGATAAATGGCAAAGTAGCCCAGTTTCTGCAATGAAAAGTAGGCCAAAGGAATAAGGCATTGCTTCAGACATTGATGGTAATTTTGGTGCTATTTTTGCAGAGGAACCCCCTGAATAAAATGAGCTACATAACCAAACAAAGAATCTAATCTAACGCCACCTTTACTCACAGTCGATGAAGTTCAGAATGGATGGAGAGGATGCTTCAACGCATTAGATATTGTGCGAAACTCTAAAAACGTTTTTACTTAATCGCACAGGCCAGGTTTTCTTTAAAGCAACAGGACTTCGTGTTTTCCAAGAGCGGTCCTACGTTAAGATGGTATATCTTTCACAGTCTCAAAAGGATTTGTGGACTAAATCAAATCAGATTGCTCTGTCTCATGGAGAGAATTGAAAGAAAATGTGATTATGATTATATCTGAATGGAGCACTTTTGACTGTTCAGTCTGTCTGTCTTTGCCCCTGCTGTTTCTCTCATCTTGCAATCACCCATACCATAGGACCTCATCTTGGTGACAGTTAGTGCTCGAGAGGAGGCGAAACCAAATCTGTAATTCGCGCAAGCCCAGGGTCGGATTTCGCTTCCAATTTCCCGGGCCCTCATTCGATTACTTAAAGTCTGTCTCGGATCTTTGAAAAGCCTGGCCCCCTGTTTCTGGACTTCTCTCGTGACATGTATTTTCTGACCCAAATCCTGAAGCATGGGTAAAAAAAGGTGAAATACCACTCCAGAAAATCTTTTAAAATGTGATTCGATTTTGCGTCGTTTCACTGGTTAAAATTGTCATGAAATCAAAGTTTTATTTGGACGATTTTCTTGTTTACAATATTAATTGATTAAACTGATTAAAGACATGCAACTCAACTGAGGAACGACCAAAGGCTAAACGATCTCTGCTAGTTTTGTCTGTTTGCGCAGCGAGTCGGGGGAATTGCCCTCAGAAGATGTTCGTGCCCTGTAATAAAATCTAAAAAAAATACTGCGTGCAAAACTGAAGGTTGGATATTGAATAAGCAATAGTTCCTCAGGATAGATTTGTAATGGACTGTAAAAGTAGAAGAGGTTTGGAACATAAGACAGCTAGCGTTGAGAAGATTTGCGGTGCGACTTTAGGCGTTCATTTTCAAGGGAGACCAACTGGTTGTGTGGAGCAATTTCGATTATTTGCAAAACAGGTTTTATTTCAGGGGATGTGTGCCGAAAGCATCAAAGGCCAGATCATAGGGGTTTGTTGTAACATGGCTTGACATACTGAAGTCTTTGGCACTTCGTTGTGATCGTTAGAATACTACATTTTTTGCTATTTGGTTCATACTTCAAAGTTAGGTTGGCAAAGTTAGGTATACATTTTGATTTGGATTCTAGTGACCGTCGAAATAAATAGTGGATGTTTTAAGAGAGGGGAAGTAGGGAACGCGAGATTGTGTGTCTCTTTTTAAAAATTGTATCTAACTGTTCCTTGCGGTGTGAGCAAGCTACCTGTTTCACAACTGCAGGTCACGACACTAGTGTTGGTGTATATATAATATTATATTTTGTATAAAGTTTAACTTTAGTTTGTTTTTGACATGCAATGGGCCAAAAATGTCTCCGGTTTCTGGTCAGCGCGCGCATCTCCGTAGATCTGCACGTCGGCAAAAACCCGTTTTTAATCGATGTAAAACGATGTCCAAAAGCTACCAGATATACTTAATCGTCTGGAATCTTGCTACTGCGTAATTTTAACGTCTTTTTGATGAGGTATGGTCGAGTAATACACACAGTACAGGAGTCCCTCTAGTTCCTCATACATTTAGTCGGGTACTCTTATTCAGATGACGCCATTTCTGTATTATACATTTGCATCTGGGTACCAGACAAACGAGGTGGTCTTATGTCCTGTGTACGTGTAAAAGCTGCAAATGCTTTTAAACAGTAAAAAAGTGCAGGGCACAATCTATTTCAGCATTGGTAGCGGCCGGCTTTACGTGCGCGTGCTGTCGCGATGGATACCGCGCGTATACACATTTCCAGAAAAAAAAAGTGAGGGTGAGAAAAAAACCCGACGTTGCTGCACCACTTTTGGAGGCAGCTCCTGACCAGAAACCGGAGACATTGTTAGGCCGTAGTACTAGAATGGGATTGTGGTAGACGTTGGTAGAACTACCTGGACAGTGCAACCAGTTTGTGTAATGCGAAAATGTTGGTTGAGAATATCGGGCAGTACTGGTGTAACAGAAATGTATTTGAAATTGCTCCTGCAGTTGTTGGCTCTTGATGCGATATCCTTTATCAGTGTTGAAAAGAATTTGCTCAATAGTCTAGGCGATTGATACGTTTCGACCGCGTCAAGCAGCAATTACGCATGCATTTTTCAGAAAATATTGCGATAGTAATCTGACCCGTGTATACCTCCACTGTCAATTTCCAGCCGTCTCCACGGGCAGGGCAGATCGTTAGGGGAAAAGTTGAACGACGCTCCGCGCATCTGCTCCTGTCCAGGCTAAACAGGCTAGTGTTTGATCAGATGCTTGTATTTCCACAGATCCAGAAGCATGTCCCCCATCAGGAAGGCCACTGCTTCCTGACGAACCTCAGCGTGTACATGCTGGAGATGTACCCGGAGAGGATGGGGTCGCAGCACTACGACCTCTTCACCAGACTCGACACAGGTCAGTATCGGTCCGCGTTCGGCTGTGTCCCACATTTTGACAGCTAGCGATCGACAGACGCAACCGCAATCGACATGTAGCTTTTTATAAATTTAAAAGACATTCCGAGTTCCCTTTGCGAAAATGTTTATTTCTAAAACTATGCCACAGAAGTAATTAGGTGAGGTAATATGATTGTTTTTGGAGCTATAATAGCTATCCCTGAGTCTTCTGGATTTTTTTATAGTAATATCTTGCAGTCACTTTGACATCAATTTACGAATATCGGACTCACCTTTTCGCCTTGAGCTTCAAATGGCCGTGATAACAAAACCCTGAATTAGATTGAGTTGAAACTTCACTGATAACGAGCGTCGTTACATGCATGTCAAGTTTAGAAGAAAAAAAATCTCAAACATGAGACAGCCGAGTACTGAGGGAACGGGGAATCTGACTCCCGGCGGTGAGATGATCCGGAAAAAAAACTGACTGTTTTGGGGTTAAGCCTTTCGATAGGCACTTTAAAGAGACAGCGGTTTATTGAAACAGGCGCATGTGTAATTAAAGAGAGTTGATCGAGTGTAATTCGGCATGTGGATATTATTAAGTTGTGCCATCTGTTGAACCACTCTAGAGAAATACCAAGAAGTATTTTTGTATCCTGTTTCAGTTTGTGACGCCTATGAAGAGGAAAGCTATCCAGGTAGGTTGCAGCTCGTCTTCCGTTCAAAAGCGTAATTCGTTGAATGACTGATATGCAAGTCCACATATTAACTTACCATTTTCGATAAAGATAAGTTTGAGTTACCGTTTGGTATTACAGACACTGTCTTTGCAGCATGACAAGTGCAGAGGGTCCGATGTTCATTGCTTACTGAAGTCCACTTGACCGTTCAATATCCAACCATTAAAATAATGAAGAGCATCAGGTTTCATCTAAAGTGTTCCATTATGGGAACGGTTGAAGACATCATGTTAAAAAGATTATCTTGTCAAACCACGTCCATGCACCTATCTACAGAGCCAAAATAGTAATTTAAAAATAAATAAACAAAACAGAATAGACAAACTACATCATCAACTACATCAATTATGCGCCTTTTCATAGCGTCATGTCCTCTACCGCTGGGAATGGCCTCCGGTGACATCACCAACGCCCAGCTCCATGCCTCCTCCTACATGGACGAGAACCACACCGCGGGCCACGCCCGCATCGGTAACCACACCTCTTGGCGTCCCCACCCCGACGACCTGGACCCCTGGCTGGAGGTGGACTTCGGGGAGCGGACGCTGATCACTGGCCTGCTGGTTCAGGGCGGGGGGCGGGAACACAGCTGGGTCAAGAGCTTCACGATACGGTTCGGCAACGACCTGACTGTGTTCTGGGCCTACGAAGAGTACAAGAGATTGGATAGACAAGCAATTGTGAGTTTTCCTCACCAAACTTGTATGATTCTTTAAAACTTTCATAATGATATTGTCGTTTCATTTATTTGATGAAGTACTTAAACAGTGTTGCTTTAAACTCTGTTCAATCTGGCAAATTGGAAAGGAATTTCAAATGACACTTTGATATAGGATCTTTAAGTTACCCATCATTGTTTATGCACAACACAATTTGGCCATGGTTTGGTTTAAAATTTATTTTAAAAATTTTGGTATAATCTTTTTACACTTCTCTGCGGAGTAATACTTGCATACCAAGGGTTGCTTAACTTGTATTTAAATTAACAAAAAGTTCAAGTTGTATGCGTGCAATTATCTATTTTAGTTAACATTCTTAATCGGCGACCTTTTTCACCGCGAGTGCATTTGGTAGATAGAACGTATGCTGATCGAAGACGGTCAACACCGTTGAAATTTGATATGTGCATCAACACTGACTCACTGCTGTCACAGTTTACGTATTTCACTTCAATTGGAGCAAAACTTTTTTTTGTGAAAGGTGGTTAAAGCCAATGGCGAGCCAGGGTGCATCAAGCCCATCTATCTGACTCCGCCCATCAAAGCCAGGTACCTTGAAATAAACCCGACGGAGTCGTACGGGGGAGTTGCCCTGCGACTCGAGGTACTAGGCTGCCGAGATAATGGTGAGTATTCATCGGCTGCTAAAAGCAGCGCGTTTTGGAAGTATCTATATGACTTGAATCCAAATGTAACCAGGCCGTTTTTTGAAAGTTTAGCTTCGTGTCCGGCCGTTGCTCAATCTCAAGCTCCAGAATCGTGTTTAGCATTGTTCCTAAGATTAAAGGGGTATCCGGCATGGTTTTTCCTTTTGATTGTATGAGGGAAATCACATTCCCCCCCTCCGAAAATGACGATTACCGGAGTGTCGATTCCCAGGAGTACTGGCTTATAGTCTTACAATATCACTGAAGTGAACTTTGATTGGAATTACGAATGTGGGAGTGTGAAATGCAGAATGGCAGATTTGAGCATGGCGATTTTAGAGATAAACAGAGACAGCCGATCTCGGGGTTCTCTCAAAGGGTATCGATCTGTGCAGCCTTCCTAATAAAAAAATCTGATTGAGAAAACATCTGCCTTCTTGACTGCCTCAGACTGCGACTTTGCCGCCGGAATCGCGCGAGGAGACATCCACAACACCGAGATCACAGCATCATCTAGCGTGGATGACGAGAGGGGAAAACATGGTCCGGCCAACGCTCGGCTGAACCCGTTTGGTGTCCCGAAGTCAGGTACACGCCTCTGTCAAATCACCAGGAATTATTGTCGACAAAATACAAGTCGATTACTTAACGAAAAATGTAGATAAACTGTGGTGTAATTAAAAAAATAATAATCGACGACAAATCACTGAAGGAAGTGTACATTGCTTATTTTCAGTGTACAGAATATTTCCCGAATTTAAATCAGGTTTTCTAACTGTGTGCATTTGCCATGCTAACCCTACGGATATTCCTCTTAAAACTTGTAGTGTCACTGTCGCTTTCATTACGTAGACCGATGACGGATTCTAGCATCATGTGATGGAAATATGTTTATACTTAACTTTCGATAGCCTCCACACTGTGGAAAAGCAAATTCTTGGTTAATGATAAATTGACGGCTACAGATTTCCGTGTTGAGTGAGAAAAAAACACTGAAGGTCCCGCGTTGTTGAGTGATTGGATTTCACCTGTGTTGACACGGGACTTCTTTTCCCCAGCAGGTTGGATGCCGTCTCTGTTCGACGCCAACCCGTGGCTGCAGGTGTACCTCCCTGGAGTCCATCGCATCACCGGGGTGGTTACCCAAGGGTGCGGGAACGTCGACAGGTGGACCGCCCGCTATACCATCCGGTACTCGGCGGACAGGAGCATCGAGGACCTGCTGGACTACCCGGAGCCCGGACGGAGTCAGGTTTGTGGGTTGACACAAAGCCTGCAGACGCGTCTTTCCCCTAGGATACACCAAAGTCTGTGTACATTGGCAGTGTCAGTTTCTCTCCAGCTATTGGTACAGGTGGTTTTTCGGAAACTGAGAAGGGCTTTATGTGCTTGTTTGCTCGTGGAAACCGATGTACCCTTTAAACCGAAGGGAGTCACGCTCGTGGCTATTGGACAAAAAAATTATGTGGTTCACTATATAGTTTGCATGAATACAGCTCACTGTGTAGAATTGAAGGTGTGATTAAACGACGAATCGAAATGAAAATTATTCTGAACTTCACAATATTACGCTCCGCGTCAAATCAGGGTGTACAACACGTGGATTTTTATTGAAAACCCATTTTCACAACAAACAAAAACCAAAATCATTCCGAATGAAATAAAACTCAGTTGAGAGTTGGTCGACATCGATTTGCATAATTAGGTAACTTGACAAAGCATCGATCAATTTGCATAATATACACAGGTATTTGTGGGAAACAATGACCGCTGCACCCTCAAGAGGAACAACTTAGACCCGTCCATCCAAGCTGAGGTCTTGAGGCTCTATCCTCAGGCCGCCCCTGACTCGGACGTGGGCGCCTGCTTGCGATTGGAGCTCATCGGCTGCAGATATCGAGGTGCGTTGCTGGGATACCGTAGTAGTCTAGTTGTTAATATTTGACATTCGTCTCATTCAACTCGCGATAGAGCACTTTCTTCTCATGTTTGAATCACTGCGCGTGAAATTTTACAAGAAGAATGTGACGCATTGTGTTAATAAATCCAAACACTGAAAGTACACACAAGGTTTATACTCTTTAATGTTCACTAATAGATCATTGATTTTTTAGACGGTTTTAGCTCCACGTACACCCAGTATGGGATCAGAATTAATGTGAAGAATCTACGGTGTGCAATTTAGTCCCCTAAATTGGGCAAGACTTACAATGGAATCCTGTGAATTATATCTCTCAGACATGACGAGACTTTCGACGTATTTTGTCTCACAAGGCGTGCCCAGCGCAGCCAGTGAGTGTGTATTTAACAGACTCCAATTTTACACTTCGGCAGCAATAGGTTCGAGTCTATTCACAAACAGCTTTGAATCTGTGTAACTTCAGTCTTTGAGTGGTGTAGAAGTTCGTGTCTAAAAACAGTACTTTACAGGCGCCTATGGAAAAACCCCTTGCGAGTTTCTTCATCGTAGCTACAATCAGTGAGGTATTGGGTGAAAATTATCAGGTGCCTTGGGCCACACTTTTTTCAACGGTGTTTTTTTTCTGCAGCTTACATAAAAATCATATTTATGCCCCTTTCATATTAAGTTTAGCTCTAACATTGTCGCTGGTGGTTAATTCCACATCAGGGAAAGGTACGCACGATATGGTTCAGTCTTAGCGACGCCAATTACAGCACTTCATTTGTAAATGGCAAGAGGATGAAACCGGAGCAGCCTGCACGTATATTTGTATCGAGGAGGAGTGTGTTCCAATTCAGCGTGTACAGCTTAGGGCCAAATCCAGGTTTTTTTATTTTTCATTTATTTATTTTTTATTTATTTATTTATTTTTTTTTGCTGGGGGATTTTTGTTGGCATTTGTGAAACGAGTTGGTTGCTTTGTTTTACCCTTAAAAGTTCACAGAAAATAAGACCCGAACGTGATTTAAGTTATGGATGGGGTCTTCCAACCTTTTGACGTAGGCGCCCCGATCTACGTCTGCAAGTATGTTCTAATCGACCCCTTGCAGTTGGTAATCGGTAACACTTCCTTTAACATGGCAAGGAACCATTCAAAACAGACAGAGTGCAATCCCTCCATTGGAACTCCACTGGCCTGCTAATCGGTTCTTACGTGTGTGTGCCTGTATGTGTGACAGCTTGTGGGCGCCGACTCGGGATGGAGTCCGGCCTCATCGCCGCCTCACAGATCACCGAGTCCTCGGAGTACGCCGGGCAGGAGGGGGACATGGGCCGCCTGCATCACTTTAACTGCTGGAAACCCAACGGCATGGGAAACAACCACTGGATACAGGTCAGAAGTGGAGCTGTATACTGGAGTTGCGACCCTAATTGTTGGAACCAAAATGGTGGATTATGCGTCAGTGCGCGCACACGGACAATACAGGCGATTCACAAAAGTGCGCCTCTAAGAGTTTCGAAGGTGTTAGCCAATCACAATGCACGAAGTCTGTCGACCCTCTCCAAACGCGCATTGGATCGACAGATTTCGCGCATTATGATTGGCCAGAGCGTTGCAAACTCTTGACGGCGCACTGTTGTGAAATGCCCGTATTAGTAGACAAAAGTTGCAATATGTTATACTGCACATGATAATGATCAGCCATTTTGGTTCCCGAGTCTGAAATGGGCGTGAATCTCTCCATATATACCTCTCTGTCAAAACTGGCCAGGACCTATTTCACAAGAACACAACTCCATACAGAAATTTACTTAGCATGGAAAATGTTTGCTTGGCAAAATTGGGTTACCTGCCGAAATGTTATGAATTTGAATGATCTTGTGACTGGTTCCCGGCTAATTTTGCTTGGATTGGTACTTCAAGTTTATAGACCAATCCAGTGACAAGACTCAGGGGTCATTGTTAGCTGTGATGTCCCCACTCGCGTGAACAAAAGAGATGCACATTGAATACTTCCTCGTTAGCCAATGGGAGCGCAACAAACCAAAATCATCTCAAGCTTAGGAATGTGCGCCTGAGTGACAGGGACACCGCAGTAGTGGTGTCAGCACATTGGTCTATAAGCAATGAATATTTTTGAAATCTAACTCGGGAGGCATAAAGAAAGATGAACAGTGGAAAAGAGAAAAGAGATTAGAAAGCAAACACCCAATATATTCCAGAGGTAGTAGCTAGCACAGTTTGGCTGAAGAAATACAAAATGCGAAGTCCAGCATGTATTGATTTTTTTTCGAGCAAGCTGTGTAAAACTGAGACAAAAAGTGAAAATAAACGCACACAGCCCGATCGACGGCGCTCGATTTCCGTTGAAAGGCTTGATCTCTCCGCGAGGTTCAGTGTCTTCATGTAAAAATATTCTCACACAAAATTGCACTTTGAGATGAACAACCGGTAGTCCCAGGCACAGGTGAGAAAATCGAATTGTGTTTATGAGCAAAGGCACAGGGGAAGTATTAATCATGTGTGTCCAAAAAGCAAGTGATCGGCTGCGTCTTGATGCAAAATATTTTCAGCCTGCCGTTCCCTTTCCAGGTGGATCTCCTGGATCTCTACACAATCACCGGTCTGATTACGCAAGGCGGTTACAATGCTTTCTTAGGCGAGCAGGACGTGTTTTATTGGCCTGATAGCTACAGGGTGCTGTACACCAGCTCTCGAAACGACAGCTTGTGGAGGAAGTACTATAACCTGGAAGGAGATGTCATGGTATGGTATTCAGTTCGAACGTTTTTTAGATTGATGATAAGAATTATAAGTCAGTCATACAAGATCATGTTTTAATTAAACAAGCTAACTTTAGACATGTAATACCAATGTGTGAGCGGAAATTGATTTTCCCAAAGTTTTTGAACAGTTTATTGGTAATTTAGCCTATATTTCTTAGCGAAGTTGGGGCGTTGAAAATATTAATCCTTTTTACAGGGCTGCTCTTCAGTGTATTTGAACGTAAAAGATTCTCCAGGTCTACTGATTCGTAACTTCAGAATTATGTTGAACAATATTTTCAATTACCAGGACTTTCCCGCGTATCCTGATCCCCACACGGAGAAGAGGCATGACTTTGACCGGCCGTTCATCACGAGAAAGCTCCGCATCATCCCCTACTCTTGGCGAGGTTACTGCCTGAGAATGGAGATCCTGGGATGCAGGCTATCGGGTAGGTGCAAGGCGCCCGTGCGAAGGCGCAAGGGCGCCTATGCAGACGCCGCTTTCAAAATGCGCTACTGTCACGGCAGCATCAACTATAAGAAGAGCCTCTGAGAGCTTTACACACGGAAACGCTTGCATTAAGAGAGAAACGATTGCTCGCCTTTGCAAACAGTATCAAACTGACCTGTCGCATTTTCAACCATCAACCCCGGTCTCGCTTAGTTGTTTGGTATCCTACATCTTTTTACAAGAATAAAGTAATGCCTTTAGAACATCAGCCTTGCAGTAATGGGCTTTGATGTGCATATTTACCCAACATGGCGTGAAAGGCACTTGCAATTGCTATCATCGTCGCTTGTCTGAACCATGAATTATGCCTAAAAACCATTCATATTCCCGAGGTATTTCGAAGCTTGACACTGGAAAGTGGCTAGTGTTTTTGTACATTTAACAACGTGTGCGTCACCAAAAATGGGAAATTAACTTCCAGAAATATTATAAATTTCTCTCGGGAGTCGTTCTGATCACTTTGTGTTGCCTCGTGAATTTGCTCATTTCTGTTTGATATTTAGCTTTCAAACCATGACCAATGTTGACATCAGGAAACAGCCGTCTCCTGGGTGACCAGAGATTTCCTACCTACAGTTGGAGAAGCTTTACTCAAATGGGACCAAGCATTGAGATTTACCCCACTCAGAACAAGCAAAATAAAATCTGCTAAATACCTCGCTCAGTTTTTGCACCTTTTTGGCTCTTTTTCACCTCCCATCTGGGGCAGAGGGTCAAGTTTGCGGAGAGGACGCTCTTCTCCACGACGGCTTCTGTGTCGGCTCGGTCAACACCCAGTCCAGCGGGGCTTGTGACAACATTTACGCCGAGGGCAGCCAACCCATCACCATTAGCTCCGCGGCTACCCAGCAGTGGCTGGGGTTTAAGCGGGACGACATCAAAGTCAACGACCGCCACTACCAGTACAAGGTCGGCCTCCGGACCCAGCCGGGCGGGGACGCCTTTGCCTGGGCCGACGGCACGCCCATGACGTACGACAACTTCCGCTGGCCCACCAACATCACCGACAACAGCACCGAGTGGTGTGTGTACGTCGACATGAACGATGACTTGAGGTGGAGGGAGTTCCAATGTAGGAATGACGCGGTGCCACGTGCAACCATTTGTCAACTAGGTAACAATCTTATTGCAATGGCGTAGGTGGGGGTGGCTAGGGGGCTAGAACGCCCCTTTCTAATCCTTTATGGCCCTTCGTTGTTTCATTAACAAAACATAAGTCTTGGATTTGTCTTTTCAGACATTTAAAAAAGGTACCACATCGCAGGATTTTTATACCTTTTACAACTTTTCCCTAGAGAGCATGCCCAGGACGCTTCGAGAGATTTGAGGGGATCCCAAGCCATTGCATTTCGTACCCCTTCCTATAGACCTGGGCGGGCCCCTTTATTAAGTCAGTGAAAACTGGAGTTGAAATTAAGGTTCTCAGGCGTTGTGACGTAGGGAGCCATTTTAATCTTTGCCCCGAAATTTGTCTTGTCTGGCAGTATGTCAGTCGAAAAGTCATTTGCTTCTCATTGGACCATTCCAGATGTCGACGAATGCACGGCCAGCGACAACCGCTGCTCTCACACCTGCAGCAACTTCCCGGGAGGTTTCCAGTGTATTTGCCCGCGGGGCTTCCGTCTGGACAGCATGGACGGCATTGCCTGCACAAGTATGACATTAAAACCGCCCCCGAATCTTTTAGTAGGCTCTGCTGGAGGAACTCGCCTGTTTGCTGATTGAATTTGTGATAGAGAAAGAAGCAAGGTGATTTACAGTCGCCAGGTTTTTATGCCTGAGAAAGTTCATCAGTGCTCAAAATGTCCCTCGGCAGCATTTTTACTGGTGATTCCGATTTTTCTCAACTTTGATTTCAAAGCAGATGGACGAATGCAAGGCAGCTTTTACTGAATGTCGTTCAGTTTATTTTTGGCATCAGGGATGATAGGAAACAACTGTGTGATTGTCTGGCGAGCCTACAGGGACCACTCCCCCCTTTTTTTTTGAAATAACGAAAAGTGAATTGTATGGTCCAGTTTGTTTCCCTTCCATTGGCAAACTTGCAAAAAGCCCCGAAATGTAACTTCACCCCTCAGAAAAGCCACAAAGCTTACGTGAAAAACTCCTATTTTGGGTCCTCACAACAATTCCCCCTTCGAAAATTGGACACTGGGTCTGCCCTTGGGCACTCAACGCTCGGAATCATGAATATATTCCAGCGTATGATGCACAATTTTTGAGAGCGATTTGTCTTACAGATGCCCCGAATCTTAATGTCCTTTTTCTCGGACCGAACTCGACTTCATGTGCAAATCTGCTGCAGTTTGTTTCACGTTCACCTGCATGCTCTTTCCTGTCAGCACTGTGCACTGATAAACCGCCGGTTGAAGGGAACGGGAACTCCTCTACGGACTGCCTGTCCGACCCGTACGGCTTCGGCTGCTTGGACTTGAACATCCCCGACATCGACTGGCCCAACTTCAGCTACCATTGGCCCGTGCCTGATTCCGCTGATGAAAGTGGTTACGCCCCTTCCACCTTGCCACCTATGCTGTTGGGAGAGAGCACCTGCAACGGTAAGACTTTGTACCGTGCCTCGGCAGCCGCGTGATCCCGCCAAATTTAATGATATTCCGTCCACCATCGTCGATGTCCCGTAACATATTACGAACTGCCAAGGGTCTGCCGACGGCTGTGTCTGTTGGTACGAATAATGAAAGACGCTTGGAGTGTGCGGTTAGACGCCTCTCGGGAGAGATAATTCGGCACAACCTGCGAAGGCTTTGATCACTTAAACTTTCCTTCAGGGCCAAAGTTATCACCACCGCTCCTGAATACGAGAGCGTGAGACGCATGAGATACATATACATGACGGAAAGTAACCGAGCGGGACTGAGCGGTTAGGGAACTGTTTCAAAAGTGTTGTAAAGATTCATGACTGAGGAGGGTCGCTGACACATCGTTTAGACGCTAACCTCTTTAAGCTTGACAGCCGGCGGCAGAATCTCACCCTTCTGTGTTTCGATCACCGCCACGTTTTTCGCGCCGAGCGTTCATGAATTTTGATGAGTTACGCCTTAAGATCGTGTGGACATTAATTTCATGTACAGCTGTCACCAAATTGACAAAATTTCGAAACTCTGTGCCGGAAATTTGAAGTTGGTCACCGGCTGTCCTAAAAAGCCGGATCGTGGACGGCAGAGTACGATGTTCAAAATACGATTGTTTTCGCTAAGCTTGAAGATTATGCTTATCAATATAAATACTCTAGGAGATAGATTGATTTAATCAGAATTTTTTCGGGGATAAAGGTTTGAGTAGCTTGTCTTAAGTAAACAAGTTGCGCTGATTTTAGAAAAGCACTCCTATTGACCCCACGTACGACATTTTTGAGATATTTGGCAATTTTTGCCCCAAAATGCCAGTTTTTCCACATTTGGTAAAAAATACAGAATTATAAATTTAAATGTTGCAACCGTCTTATCTTAAATAAAAAGTGGTGCTGATTCCAAAAAGGCAGTTCCATTGACCCCACTCCCATCGTTTTCGAGATATTTGCCGTTTTTCCCCAAAATGTCATTTTTTAACTTAATTTGATAAAAATTCAGATTTTGAATTCGATCGTTGTGACAATCTTATCTTATGTACAAAATGGTGCTGAGTCCTAAATAACTCTCTCCACCAAACCATTTTTGAGTCAATTGCAAAGATTGACAAAAAAGTGGCATTTGGGGGCGAAAATTGGCAAATATCTTAAAAATGTCGTACGTGGGTTCAAAAAGAGTGCGTTTGGGGAATAAGCCCCACTTTTTACATATGATAAATTATTCAAACCTTTGCCACCGAAAATTCTGATTAAATCGATCTATCTCCTAGAGTAAAATATTTGAAACTACGATACTTGGGAAAATGAGACATTAAACTGCTGCAGCGTAACAGACGCCAGCTACGGAACAGTCACAACAACAATATCAAAAGCCTTACACGACAATTCAAAGTTACTGGTTGAAGTTGGTCGCCTCTTAGGGTAGGGGCTTTGCGGAGCCCTCGATCGTCCTACTGCCCCTTACAACTATCCGGGAAACCTTAACTCCGGTCGTGTTTACAACTGCAACATTTCAGATGTAGCTGACGTCAGATGCGAAGAGATGTGGGCGAGGAACGTCAACTTGGAATACGTCTACTTCAGCCAAGGATACATCCATTCCCTCAGCTTCCCGCCCTGGTACAACCAAGGCTCCACCTGTCAGATCAACATCCAGATACCGCCGGGAAACTTTGTAAGGTCAGTCAGGGTAATTGCATTGGTATACAGTTTCAGTGGGGATCACTCGGGATGATGTATCTACGATGATCACAAACCGCCAACAATTCTTATCAGTTTGAAGCTAGGGCCTACATGTCGTTCATGTAATCCACGGAATATGTTGAAAACCTCCTTCCTTTTTGTGTTCTGGCACAAAATGTCCCTGTGGAGTTCCATGTTGTCTCCGTCCTAGCGCAGTGGGCTAGTTTTACCTGTAGGTTAGAGCTTGCTTGTTATGCCAGCTTGTTTATAGTCAGTGATTCAAAAGCATGAACCTGCAGGGTCTCGTCATTTTCAGGCTGGAAATCCACGAGATGGTGCTCCGCAGGATGCCGAGAATGTCCCGCTGCATTGACGTCCTGAATGTCACCGACCACCTGACGCCCCACCACTCCATGTCGCGCGGCTCCTTCTGCGGGGAACTGCGAGATTTGGTGGTCACGTGCCGGTCCAACAACGTCACGCTGAGGCTGGACATAGGCGCTATTGGCCAAGACATGCCCAAGAAGCTGGGCTTCATGGCGTCCTATAGCATGACTGGTAGGATGCTTTTCTGCTTCTTGGTTATAAAACAACTGTAGTGCGGTCTTATGCGAGTCACTTAAAATCTCAGTCGCAAACCAATCACTAAAGAAAGAATTATCTCAAGTTAGGGCACAAGACGCAGAGCATGGTTATAACGAAGCCAAGGAAATTAACGAATTACCAGTTTAATCAGAGTTCATTTGAAGTTAAATAGTCTGTGAACTTGACTTAACATTGGATAACATTCAAATGGAGGTGGTTTAAGACACCCTGGCTGATTTTTCTTGTTACATGGTAAAGACTGCACAGCGTCAACGGACGAGTGCGACCCCGGATGCGGCAAGAAGGACGTCTTGACTGCGCCGAGGGGCAACTTCTCTACGACCGACTTCCCTTCCAAGCTACCACCTTTCTCCATCTGCGCCTGGAATATTAGCCTCCCGACTGGCTCCTTCATCGCCCTCAACTTCTCCGAGTTTCTGATCGCCGAGGAAGAAGACAGTTCCGAGTGTGTTGACTTCGTTCAGGTAAGTCCAGCCGATAACGGAAAGATTTCATCCGCCTTGAGCAGAAGCACTCCCTCATCCGTTGAAAAGAGTTACGTTGGTGGAGAGGGTTCATTTCTGTTGGTAGCGACGCGATCGTAACGCATGTATTTCACACACGTTTGTGAACCAGCGAAGTACAGTTCCCACCAAAAAAAAGAGGAGCCTCCGTGACGTACACTCAGGCATTCCTCTTTCATTACTTGTTGCTCTAACTATGATGTTACTTTCCAATCCGTCAGATATTTCTGAGTGATGACAACGGTTTGTACGACAATGGCCCCGCTGGCCAGCCTATGTGTGGTTCCACGCCGTCTCTCATCATGTCTAACTCCTCCTCCGTGCAAGTCGTGTTCAGGACCGGACTGGACTCCAAATCGCTGGGATTTCTTGCCCAATACGCAAGTACAGGTACATATGGCTTTTCGGTCCACTGATATGCAATTAAAACATCAGACAAGATAACGTTGTTTGTAGTACACATGTATTTAATCCAGACTTGAAAAATCTTATACATACACTGTGTAAATATCAAGATTACTTTGGATTCTTAAAATGAAAGTGCTTAGTAGGAATTCGTTTTGCCTTCTCCAAGATATTCCGGGTTGTGGCGTTGGTTTCTACAGCGGCGAAGGTATCCAGCGCTGTGATATGCCCGAGGCAGCCATCGCGTCCGTCGATTACCCGAGGCCTTACCGTCCTGGTACGTCATCAATCTGGCACCTCACCACGAATATTGGCACATACATTGAGCTACAGTTCGTCACATTCGACGTCCCGGGTTCCTACGGCGACTCCTCCTTCGTAAAAATCAACGACGGGGCGCCAGACAGCACGAGCGGCATGCTCCTGGCCAGACTCAGCAACGAGCGACCGCCACGCGGGCCAGTCAGATCGAGCTTTAACGAAATGACCGTGCGCTTCCGAGCCGACGGCTCCGTGACTGGAAATGGGTTCTACGCCAAGTACAGAGCGGCCGTCTTCACGCCAAAAGTGAAATTATTCGACAATGAGACCACAGGTACGTAACAGCGTTGTTTAACCGTATTTCCTGCACAGTAGTCTTACAAAGGCTCTTGACTCCTCACTTACGGTATTCTACTCACCCTTGAGACCTGGATGTAATGGAGGCACATCATCTCCAACATGCAGTACTAGGGGATGATGGTGGGTATTTCCTGGAGAATGAGACGAGCCAATGCTAATGTGCTACTAAATGTTACGAGACGCCCTCTGCATGTTGTCAGTGTCCACTGTTTCTCTAAGAAGACTAAGAGATTACTTGGGGTGGGGAAAATCTTAATGCAGGGTAAAGACAGTAGGGTCCTTAAAGGGGAAATGCCCAGAATAAGAGAGATTAAACAGCATGAAGAATCACTTTTGAGGTAAGGAGCTCAGCCGGCAGTCGTGACCAAGTTCGAACAACGACCGCTACCCAACCACTGGTCCTGTTTGTCGGGTGCCCAGGTCGTAGTAATTCGTCCGTGAGGTTAGCAGTGGTCAATGAGTCACGTCGCTAATCAGTCTTGGCACATGATAAGAACGAAACAACCGGCCAGCACTGCTGCTGGTGTATGTTGTTTGGACAGCGCCTGAACGTTTATTTCAATTGTGCGTTGACCGCTTTTTTGTTTTGAATCAGATGAAGACTGCCAGTCAGGATGGAGGCACTACAACGGCCAGTGTTACGCTTTTAGAGAGGCCAATAATTCTATCCGATGGACGGACGCCCAGCGTCTGTGCTCGGATGAGAACGCTAATCTTGTCAGCATCAGTGACTTCGCCGAGATGAACTTCATCCATAGCTTGATGACTTCTTCCTGGTTAACCAACAACTCCAATACGTACATTGGTAGGCCAGACCACTTTTTTTTTAATGTTCTTCTTTTCTGAGCGTAAATTCGAATATTTACAGACAAGACACTTCTTTCCTTTGGTACGAGCATGCATGGACGACTGTAAGACTTTTAAGGATTGTGGGTTATGGATTTACTTTTTTTTAATCAGTCACTGGAAAAATATCTTCTTACTTATCAGGCTTACGGTATCATCACCTGCAACTGCAGCATCGATGGCAAGACGAAAGTCCCCTGAGCTACGCCGACTGGTTTGTGCCAGGACCTTTGGAAGGTGGGCAAATGTAAGTTTAGCACAGCGTTATTAACCCTGACATGAACAGCAGAGGGCGCCCTTCGACCCGGTTACTTTTTAAGTGCATGACACGGAGTACGCAGGTCCGGTTTCATCTAAACGGACAAAAACCATGACGTCTTCACGTGTTCTGGTGCCACCGCTGTCAGAGAGAATTTCTCGTTATTTTTCACCTATGCTACCTTTTCCTCGTCAGATCGTCGTCGTCATTCGTGGTGAACGGCGCTCCCCAGCCGGACGGGGGCGCCCTAGAACGGTGTTCTCAAATCATCTTACGCAATCTCCATTCCACCAGTCACTGGCATGACGTGCCGTGCGCGTCCAAAAATTCCAATCAGTTTATCTGTGAGAAATCAAATTACCAAGGTAGGCATGCCTTTTGTTTCGTGGAGAATGTTATTGCTGTAGGTTTTTTCGTGATAAGTTAGTAATTTTCATAAAATCCACTGGCTTAAAATCAGGTATATTAGAATACACCAAGGAACAACGCTTCCATGTTTCATTTTTCAGGGCATTTACCCCCGACTTCTCCAAAAAGCGTAGGGAAATTGTCAAGTGCAGGTACGTGCGCTGTCTTATTTATTGGTTATAGTCGAAGCCTCATTATTAATTTCATTTTTTGTTCAGAAGTGAGAACGCCAGAGTTGTAACTAGTCACGAATTTTTGTGACTCGGGTCGAGTCCAGTCATTAGGCAAAAATCGAGTCAAGTATTTAGATTAGGTCAATTCGAGTCACCAGTATTTGAACACAATAAGACAAATGAAAATGACAGAGAATGTGACTTTTGCCATTTCTAAATTTACCTCTGGGTTTCACCACATCTTACCTGTGATGATAATGACGCATGACAGGAATGTTATAGGCTGGTACTTTCGCAAAGAAGTTTACTTTTCTTTTGAGACTCGAATGCTATTTATTTTCACTTGAGTTGGGTCTTCTTGATGAGGGACTCGAGTCGAGTCATTTGCCCGCATTGACTCGACTCGATTCTAGTCATTTACCTTTTGGAATCTGAGTCATATCGCCAAAAATTATGACTGGGGTCGAACTCGAGTCGCACCATTGACTCGAGTCATTACCACTTTGTAAAACAGTAAATTGATAGTGTTTTTTCTTTGAAAACAGTTTGTGAAAACGAGTGGACGCTGATACACGGCCAATATTGCGTCAAAATGCTGCTAAACAGTAGTGCAACTTTCCTCACCCGCTGCCCGGCCAACTCTAGACTGGCCACGTCTTTAGACCCCCAAATCGCGCAGAGGTTACCGTTCTACATCGAACACGTCTGGGGAATGGACCCCAGCACCCATACGAGGTTTCTGATCGGTCCCCGCGGAGAAGGTGACGACCGGGCATATGACGTCATGACCTACATCGACGGTCATTGGAGGACGGTTCACGAAAGGGCTGCGGGAGAAATTCACGGGGCTATTTGCGCCATGGAGGCATCAGGTATCGAGTAATTTTTAACAAGGATTGCGAATTTCAGTGGGAAACTTTGAGACACTTAGTGGTGGAAAACATAGAGGTCATTTTTACCAGTTCTGAGCATGGGCGCGTTGTTTTGAGCAGGCGTGCGTAGTTCTCAGCACGCGCAATACTGTGAAGAAGGACCGGTATGTCTACTGCCATCAACGTCAAAAGTCTTCCATTGATTGTAAACTTCTAAAACACAAAGAATACAAGAACGACCATTATTGTTCAATCTCAGATTTAGTTATACAATAATCAATTGTACAACACCTCATAAACTAGTGCAAGCGATTTATATTAAGGAAAGATTTGGATTCCAATTTGCTGATTGATTTATGTTTCGATTTTGCTGTCACCTTTCCAGTGGAAACTCCCGGATGTCCCAGCGATATGTTCACCTGTGGGTCGGGCGAGTGCATTCACCGCGTATTTGTCTGTGATAACCGCCGTGACTGCACGGACAACGGTGACGAGGCCTCCTGCAGTAACGGTATGTAGCTAGAGTTTGTCGTGTGGTGGGCAGAGCTGTTAGTGGTGGCGGGAGAAACATTTTACAATGTAAGGAGCAGATGGGAGAGACCGACCCTCTAAGCCCCTCCCTTTTCATGTTTTGACCAATTCCGGCCATGGTTGTACTGCAGAGTGTCTGTCAAGAAAGAGGCATTCACACATGCGCCGTGTGGAGACGCATGGTGGGATATGTTGTTGTCGGACTGTGCGTTTACAATGGCAGTGATTTTTTATCGTTAGCTAAGGACTTAAGTTAAAGAGAACCAATACCTCACGGTCTCGCAATCAAAAGAATATAATTGGTGTTTGCTGCCACCAAGAGAATCGAGATCCCTATAAGCAAAAATGTGTCTGGTTCTTGCCAATCAGATGTTGGAATCGCTGGCTACACCTGCACCGACACCAGCTTTCGCTGCGGGTCCGGCGAGTGCGTCTCGCTGTCATTTTACTGTGATTTCCACCCGCACTGTCAGGACGCGTCCGACGAGGCAAACTGCAGTAAGTGGGGGAAAGTTAAGGCTTGGAAGAGGGTTTCTGTTATTATTACCGTTGCGTAATGAAAGAAAATTATCTGAAAGGACAAATGAACAAGAAGTAATCCAAAGAGGATAATATTTTGATAAACTTTCCCGTGTGCGTTGATTTATGTTGAAATGATTGCAGATTAATAATGAATAACTTTTTATATAAAGGAGAGATACTTTAAATGATGTACTTATGTTTACAAAGGCGTCTTTGTGGAACCTCTCACTTTATTTTATGTTCTATTTGGTGATGATTTTTAACATAACAGTTTTACATTTCTCTGGCAGGTATAGTTACGTGCACCGATTTGGAGTTCCGCTGCAATAGTGGGCAGTGCATTAACAAGGAGCTACGCTGCAACTTGGTAACTGACTGTGTGGATGAATCGGACGAGCAAAACTGTGGTACATATGACTTGAAATGAAATGCGTTTACATATCCTATTAAGTCAAGAACAATTGGTTTGCTAATGCAGAGACTGGTGCCAGTATTGTTGCTACTGTTTTTATGCCACCGCGATAATTAATACGCTGAATCGAAACAGCATTATGTTCTCGGGAATGTATTTTGTTTTAATAATTTCCGGCTGTGTCTCCCGATCCTGATGTCAAGTCGCTAAGATCCCGGAATCTTTCAGCCAGCTCTCTCTTCAGATGATAAATCCGCTCCTCTCTCGACGTGTGGAAGACAGGTGGGCCCCTCGTGGCGTCGCAGCCTCTGATCCAGGGCCAGGACGGGGTGGACTCGGCCGAGTCGCTCCCCTGGGGAGTCGACTTGGACTCTGGTTTGGCGGACAGCCAGGGGAAAGCGGGCAGGTCGCAGCTGCTGAGGCTGCTAGTCTCGTCGTCGCTGCTGGAGCCATTGCAAGGCGCTGCCTCGGAGCTGGGGAAAGGATGGTGGAAGTCACCGCTGGATGAGGCGCTGAGGCGGCGCCGTTTGCAGGCGGTGTCGGATCGCGGAGTGGGCGGGTTCGTGTCTGGCACGGACTCGCAGTCGTCGTCGGAGAAATCCCGGCATTCGTCCCGACTGGTCGGTGATCCTGCTATAGAAGCTGGCATCCAGTCCAGGTTTATGTCACTTCTACGGTCCTTGCTTGAATATTTCTCCTGCATCAATGTAGTCGTTTGTGAAAGTTGAGCGTCGTCAATGGGAGGTAAGCAACTGTCGTCACACTTCTGTGAAATCGATTGTGGCGTTCCCATTCCTGCTGATCTCAGTGGAAGATTTCTTTCTTCAGTATAATTTCCAGTGCATCTTTCACCGGTCCTGTCCGTTTCAGTCTCAGTATTCTCCTCGTACGGTCGGCATCTCAACCACACGTCTCCACAGTCTTGCAAGCTTCGTTTCCGGTTCTCACACAGTTGCGATGGCCTCTGTTGTCGCTCGCTGCAAATCTGTGGACAATCTCTCATCTGTCCATCCTCTCCCTGTTCCATCTCACCAACTGCTCGGTCGAAATTGGGGAAACCAGTTTCCTGTACCTCTGACTTGACAGAGATGCCCACGACTCGCCACGAAAACTTGCCGTGTTGAGCGTTGTTGTGTTGACGAGTGAGCTTTATCTTAATACGGGGCTCTTCAGGTAAACCAGTTTCCAAACTTCCAGCAGATTCAGGTGCCACCCTGTTTACAATCGCATTTTCCACGTCTTTCCCCTCCAAGATTTCACCGACTGGCTTACAGGCGATTCTCATTGCTTCAAAGTCGCCCTTACTGATTGATTTGACCTCAGAGATCCTCAGACCTAAATCTTCCGAATTCTTCGCTGTGGTCGGTTTGTCGCACTCACCGATAGAGCACGTCTGGATGATGCCATTTTCTCTGACCGGTAGGTCAGGGTTGATCGCTGGACTTCCAATTGTTCCCATCGACTGTCTGATCTTACTCATGGCCCGGCGCAGTGCGAAGTATGGAACCATTTTCACGCAAGCCTGTCCATTCTTGACCAGTAGCAGCGGCACGACAGCGTCTGCTCGGCGGGGCTGGCGCGGGTCGGCTAGCCCCATCCTACGGCTCAACGAGCCTGGTTTCATGCCTGCAGGCGAATAAGTCTGATTTGCAAACAAACAGGGCAGGAACTTTCACTTATTTCACCCGACAGATTTGAGCAGATGGAAGTTTTTAATCAAAAGTTGTTCTCGCCACAAAGGCCAACGGTGGACATTCGTTTTGCATCGTCACACTTTTCGATTGTCTTCTTTATGACGCGTTCAGAACCATTTAGCCAATGGCGTTTCGCGCGAGTTCGACACGCAACGCGCTGTTTACTCAGAACGCGTTGCGTGTCGTTGAGCTGCGCGTGTAAGTAAACTGTTTAGAATCTTCAGGTTAACGGCTCTTTCTTGGCTCATTAAAATACCTGAGCAAGTGGTCCTAGGGATGTAAAACCGAACACATGCTGTTTAAGGATTTTTTTTCTTACAACATGGTTTTCTGAACAGCTTCAAATACGTTTGTAATCCACAGAGGCAGTTTCGGGCGGGTTCCAGTGCTACGATGGGGCGTGGCTTCCAGCCCACACCCACTGTGATGGAACAAAGGACTGCCCCGGTAACAATAGAGAGGATGAACCTAACAGTGCATGCGGTAAGAAATGGGATTGTGTACTTGGGCCCCCCCCAAGGTTTTTGTCATTTTACTCTTGCAAAACTGGTGAGTCACCCCCCCCAAAAAAAAAAAACCACAAAGGCATTGTTGTTTTTGCTGTGTTTGACTCATTATTTCCATATTGCAATGTATATAATTATCAAATCATACACGAGGTCAATAAATGATAGAATTTCGACTACAAGAGTGAAAATTCAATAAGACCATAAGACATTGAAAACAAGGGGAGACAAACACGGAGGTATAATTATTCAGAAGAGAAAGTTTTATACAGAAATGCCTTATTTAGACAAGGAAAAAGAACAAGACAGGGAAGACAGATAACACATGAACGAAAGACAAGTACGTTATAATACAGTCAAAACAAAACAAAACAAGACAAAGACGAAACAACAGACAGATGTAACAAAAACTGGAATTACCAAACATTCAAAACGTTTGGAAGATCAAAAGGAGGATTGGAATGATAAAAGAGAAGGAGCTACGGTACCTCAGGTAATCAGAGACTAGGTGTTTTTGCAGTTGTTTTTGAAGCATCCCGAAGATGACTGTGACTCTAATATTACCATCAATACTATTCCAAACATTGGGTCCATAGAATCTTAAGGAATTTGCTACATTTATTCAGTAGCTTCTTGAATTCCCTCTAATGCTTTCCGTGATTCAGTGGTGCAAAAGTGAATAATGAACACTTATAATTTATGTCTTGTTTATGCTTTTTAAGAATATTGCTAAATCTAATCACAAATGTCAAAACTAAAATGGAGAATTGTTTCCCAGTTTTTTTCCAGTGCAAGGAAAACCCCAATCTGATTCAGTGCAACAACGGCGCCTGCGCTGACAGACGGCATATCTGCCTGTACGACTTCGATCAGTATGGGTACCAGACGGGCTGTCGTGACGTCACACACCTACGATTTTGTGGTAGGTGAGCATTTTCGTTTTCTTTCAAGTTTTTCCAACTCGAGCAAAATATCAGCTAAGATTATATAGGCTACACCTATCCACTCCGAGCGGAACAAAAGAGGGCGTGGTTTTTTTTTTTTTTGGTACCCACCGAATAGGCGTGGTATGAGGCGCGCAAGTATATGTGCGTTTGACGCGGAGCACGCTGAGATGCGTCAGTAATTTCTTCCCGGGCTTGTATGGTCTTTGCGTAAACACAAAACTTGTGCAAGAATCCGCTTGTAACCACCTGTCTTTCTTCCACCAATTGATGGTGCAATTCAGCTCGCGGCGGATAAACCACTTAAACAAAGTTTCTATTTCAAAGATTCTTTGTACAGTTCCAATATAAGGACCAACAGGCTCTGAAGAGTTCACAAAGTTGAAATAACCTTTGCGGAATGCAAAATTTATCGTTTTTTTTTACACTATTTAGCACATGGGTGCCTCTATTGAAACATCAGTAATTATCTGACACTTGACCTACCTAATTTTCTGACGTCAGTGGCTATATTAATGCATTATTGAAAGTTTAGTTTAAATTTGTTTGATACATTGGAAGGGTTGTTGTCGCTGATTCACTGCAGGTGAGTTCGAGTGCAGCAATAACACATTCAAGTGTCCGGGATCGTACTGCATTCCTCTTCATCGCCGCTGTGACGTCACTAAGGATTGCCCTGGCGGCGAGGACGAGATTGGATGCGGTAAGCGTTCGGCGTCTCAAATTACACCAACTGACGCACGACGTATCATTAACTATACACAGTATCTGTTTGCTTTCGAATAAAGTGCCGCCAATCTGTTTGGCGACAAGCAAATTTGCCTCACGATCGATTGGCTTTTCTAACGACTGCGAAAACATACAGATCTTCCCGTTGCAAACAAACTGCGCCTCTGGGTATTTTGTGGATTGTCTTACGCCTGTGACGCAATTAAGCATTGGGTCCTCTTTCCCCAGTTATCTGTGGTGAAATAATTCAAGACGAGCTGTCGTTGATTCGTGCTTGTTCGTTTCCTGCAGCCAATCATACCTGCAATGGCCACTACCGATGCCACGATTCGCGCGTCTGCGTGACCAAGTCGTACGTGTGTGATGGCATCAAGCAGTGCCCGGCCGGGGACGATGAACTTTTCTGTGGTAAAATCTTCCTTTATCAAAATTTCCTCCTGACCAATTTGTGGCAATAATTATTATTTGATTTAGTTCATTCCATCAAAACGGAAAACACATTGTTTCGTAATTGTTAAGACTAGGTGGTAGGCCGGTACTTACAGGATGAACAGTTAAACACAGGAGAAGAATACAAGCAAGCTGTTATGTAGGCAAGATTTTAATAGTAGAGCTCAAAACAAGCAGAAAGTGCATCTTCAAATTGTATTCGCTCATGGCCCTAAACGTTTTCCTGGGTTATAAATGTGAGGCATTGTTTTTTTTTTTTTGGTGGCCGCTCTGTGAATACTGAGTTAATTTCCTGACTGTTTAATTCTCCAGCAAGTTCCAAATCATTTTCATAAAGGTTGCGCACAGCTTAAGGAAAATTCCTTTCAAATCAGCTCAGGGTTTTTACTTCTTGGCTGGTTTCTAGAGACACAGTGCCCGGATGGATGTTCTTGTACCGGTCTCTCGTACGCGTGCACTGGGATCAGTTGGAGTGATGAGACGGCTAAGTTGATACCGCGGAACGTTCGCAAACTGTGAGTCAGTGGGAGATTAGATGTTTTTCTGCCAATAAGAAATACTTTAAAAGAGTAAAGTTTAATTGTCGCTGGTTAGGGAGAAATTAAGCCTACGAGTTTTCATGGAACTCCACATATCAATTCAGAATGATACCTTCAACTTCAGTTTGCCAGAATCTTACTAAGTTCTGGGTTTTTTGTGGGCTTCATGAAAGTTCAGATCTACGAAGTAATAAGTATTACAGCTAAATCTAATTAGAATGGGGTATAATCGAGTGATAGAGCATACTTCAAGTTATTATATTCATTAATAACTAATACTGGAGGTGACTTTCAAACTCAACACTTCCACACATTTGAAACGGGGCGCTCAAGCTATGGATGTCTCTCTGTCTTGACAGGGAGCTAAGAGGAGTAGCTGCAGTCAGCAGACGACGTCGGGAGACCGTACTCAACAACAACGTGACCGTAGAGTACACGTTGTATCTACCCCTGGACAGGCTCCAACAACTTGCTGAACTGTAAGAGAAGAGATGATTACCTCTCTTCAAGATAACAATTTTGTTTCGTTATGGGTTTGAAATGTCACTGACGCCGGTACTGATTCTTTCTTACAGCGACCTGTCTGGAAACGGCATCGATGTTTTAAAGCCTGGGATGTTTAAGAAACAGAACAACTTATATAAACTGTAAGTACAAAGCCTCAGTGTTACTTTTGAAAGTAATGAAGTTTAGTTGCGGTCTTCATACGCGAGAGAAAATTAGTACTTTGTCGTTATCAACTGAAAGCACGAGTTTCACTCTTTGTATTTGGTTTTCTCCCAAATGTTTTGGATGAATTACAGGGTTCTCGCGGACAATAACATAAGGAAGTTGGAAAATGGAACATTTGAAGGACTCCATCGGCTACAGTTTCTGTAAGTTTAAAGTCTGTCGGACTTATTGCGTACGTCTATATATGCTACTAGTGCGTATTGACAGTGATCTTAGATTTCACAGTAATTTCACTCAATCTGAAGTGTAATTCCATCTAAAGGTTCGGGAGAAAATATCCCCATTTATAGGATGGGCAACATTTACCTGATACGTTCCCGGTATTCTATTATTTCCGAACCAAACGGCAAATTCTAGGAGTTGCCAGGACCGTTGAATGTTCATGTTGAGTGTACATGGCTTAAAAGCATTCCTCAATTTTTGGTGTATTTCTTGGCAGTAATTTAACCGGAAACCCGCTGGCCGAAATAGCTTCGGGAGCGTTTCTCGACGTGGTAACACTTCCTATTTTGTAAGTACTGTTCAGTTTGATGAATTCTAAAAAACGATTGAAAAGTTATACATATTAAAGCATCTGAACAGTTCTCATCGAAATGAAACGTATTATCAGAAAAACGCAGCACGGTATAGCATGATTTCATCTTGATTTCACTGTTGTCTTTAGGTACTTACTCCCTTCAATGTAGGGTTCCAATAATGCCCTTATATGGATCTATCTTGATAATGACGCAGCGAACAACTTTCTCAAGGAAATGATTAATTATATCATTGCACAGATCATCTTCTAAAAATGATGTCGCTTTACTCACTTATTATGGTTTTTAAGACTTAGTGCTGTTGGCAGTTTTTCTTTTGATTTTAATCTACAGAGATCTTGGCTATCTCCAACTGCGCCATTTGCAGCCGGGCGTGTTCAAAGGATTGGATTCTGTAGAAGCACTGTAAGCATTTCTGTAATATATTTCATTATCATCATTTTTCTGGATTTTTGTGTTTTCGTTTTACATGAGTGGATTAGGAGTGAATGCGCTAAAACTTTGGATGATTTGAACCGTTCTTTCCGGCAGGAATGTGGGCCACAATCCGTTGGTGGCGGTCGATCGTGGAGCTTTTGACGGCCTTGAGAAGACCAGTACACTGTGAGCCTCGTACAATTTCTTACTTTAAGTAGATCATGAAAAAGGCAGAAGTTCAATCTTTTACCGTAATTTTGACATGCATTTCCCAAGTACACAACTGCATGAAAATTGTACGTGTATCATGACTGTCAGTGCTTCATGCTAATTTCTCTTTTTGTCTGTTGTGGTCAGCGATATCCGTCAGACTGAAATTTCAAAGGTGGACCCCTTGATGTTCCAAGGATTGGACAGCATACAAACTGTGTAAGTGTTAAGTGTATATGGAGTAGGTTAATCCAATAAAACCAAACGGTGAATTTGATTTAGCGAAATGTGCGATCGTCATCCAGTTGAATACAGACTCCTGATAATGCTTTATTTTCCCTGTAATGTGAATGTGATAAAAAAAAGTACAATTCGGTTTGCAAATTGTGCAGTCGATACTAGTAAAGTAGTAATGTTGCTGTAAACCCATGGGTGGTGTTTATTATGAATCAGACTAGTTCATTTCAGAATTGTTCTCTTGGGGGGGAAACGCGATTCTATCAACACCAAACCCTTGTCCGGTATGTGTTATTTGGCACTACACTTTATTCTTGTATCTTGCTGCAAGAGGTTTTTAAGATGAAGGAAATGCCCCAATCACATATGGCTGACAAAATGACTGTCCCATTAGAAAAATAGCGCTCACTTTGAACCGCAGGTATGCTGACAAGTACCTCTACTGTTGCCTTCTGAGCGACATACACAACTGCGAGGCGCCAATGGACGAGCTCTCCTCCTGCGAGGACCTGATGCGCAACCCCATCCTTCGCGTCTTCATCTGGATCCTGGGCTTCAGTGCCCTGGTGGGCAACGCCTTCGTCATCGCCTGGCGGGCCCGCAGCCGGGACCGGGAGCAGTCGCGCAAGATCCAGACCTTTCTCATCCTCAACCTGGCGGTGGCCGACCTCCTGATGGGCGTGTACATGATCGTCATCGCCAGCGCCGACCTGCACTACCGGAGCGACTACATGATACACGCCGATGAGTGGCAGGTAAAGCCTATTCACACTCTCTGCCTTAAGCAGATGCAACCCCTCATCGGTTGAAAAGAGCCATGTTGGTGGGAAGTGTTCGTTGTAGCGTTGTAGCATAGTTGTTTATGACCACGAAGTGCATGCAGTTCCGGCCAAAGGAGCATCTGTTGCAAGGAAAATTGCGCCCTCTCTTGGTCCAGCTCAGGGCTCATTCCGGCAACCAGAACTGGAAGCCGTAACTATACGGCGGTGCCACCAAAGACACCTCAACTTCAATAACTAAATCATTACACAAGTATAACTTGACTTGAAGACTGATGAGAGAAAAATGAAGAAATATTTATCCTACCGAAAGTATCAATAACAGACCGGAAACACGCAATTAAGTAATATTGAACATTTATTTGCCTTCTGTAAAACACGTTTTGGACTCACGGAGCGGAAATGACCTTATTGGTGTTCCAGGAGAGTGTCGTGTGCCAAATGGCCGGCTTCATCTCTGTCCTCTCCAGCGAGTCATCGGTCTTCTTACTGGTCCTCATCACCACTGACCGCTTCCTGGGCGTGGTCTTCCCCTTCAGCCGCTGGCGCCTCCACACCAAGTCGGCCCGCTACGCTGTGGCCGGCCTGTGGCTGCTGGCCTTCTTCCTCAGCCTGCTGCCCGTGGTGTTGCGGCCAGCCTTCGGGGACCGGTTCTACGGGCGGTCCAGCGTGTGCCTGGCCCTGCCCTTCACGAGGACCAAGCTGCCAGGCTGGGAGTACTCGGTCGTCCTGTTCCTGGGCGTCAACCTGCTGGGCTTTCTGGTCATCTTCTTATGCTATTTTTCAATGTACATAGCCATCAAGAGAGCTTCCAAACAGGTAAACATAGTACTGGTGCATTGACTTCGCTCACTTACTTCCATCCAACAACAAATGGACTTTACATACATGAAGTTATACGAACAATCTTGATGCGGGATATAATTATCCATTTCCCCGTGAAAAGAAAAATGGTACTACAAACTTTTAAGGCGGGGCTTGACGTAAAATCTTCCTCGGACTAGGTGTGTTTTGAAATACAAAATTGATGCAGATTCTAAAGAAAACGAAATATAATATTAGTCAAAATAATCACAGAAATGAAAAATTGGAAAAAATGACGAACAGCACTACTTGGATCCCTGAAAGAAAACACGGCTCTTTTCTGTGGAGGCTGTATGCCATTTCCAGGCAATATCTGAACTCGAAAACCGATCAGTGTGTTAATTGCTGTCTCAACAGTGCACGAGAAAGCGCGAGAACATGGAAGAGATCAAGATGGCGACCAAGATGGGCATCATCGTGGGCACCGATTTCTTCTGTTGGATGCCGATCATCATTATGGGCTTGCTGTCCTTGTCCGGCACGGCCACCATCCCTCAGGAGATGTACGCCTGGGCGGCTGTCTTCATGCTCCCCGTCAACTCGGCGGCCAACCCCTACCTTTATACCATCTCCAGTCTGGACAGGTAGATCGCCGAATGACATCTTACTTTACGTCGGGTGGTTTGTTAGCAGGGTATTACTAACACGCATAAGCACCGGGAACGAAAATGAAAAACGGGTTCGATGCTAAGGCTGCGTCGGAATCACTTGGCCATGGCTTGAAATTACGCACGACTCAGTGGGAACCGGCCACGGCCACAGCCACAGACTCGCGTTTAATTTCTAGCCGCAGCCAAGTAATTCGGACAAGGCCTTGAACTCTTCAACGAAATCCTTCGTAAAAGAATAAAAGTAAACGCTATCGTGTACATGACGACCTTGGTAACAAAATGTTGAGGATACAATTATCCATACCTTTACGAAATCAAGCGATTTCGCAGCCATTGTGTTTGACTTATGTCTCATCATTCATCTGTGATTTATCTGTGAAAGAATAATGCAGGTGGAAATAGGTAGTTGTAGTGATGGACATTATGATTTGGTATAAAATCCGTAACTAAACGTTATGTTGGTTAAGGTCCATGTTGAATGACCATGGCTTTACATTCTAATATATGATAATGTATTCTTTGGTAACCTGTACACGCAGAAAGAGAAAGAAGGCAAGAACATCGACATCGTCGCCAACGTGGAAGACAGAATGCACGCGTGACAGTGTCGATTTTGAGATGGTGAAATATGCCAAAGGAGACAGTAATTCAAGAGATAAAGGTTTGGGTTGAATATTGAGAGTACTTTATGTCAATACAATTTGTTATTTTGAGGACTTATATTGACCAAAGCTTGCCCTAAATGGTTACAAAGAAAAGGAGATGACAACATGGTGAATGCAACATCTGAATCAACATCATGAGGCAGTGGCGTAGCTAAGATTTTACTAGGGGGAACAAAGGGGCGCGCCACCAGCATCTTATTGGGGCACTAGCTTTCAGTGGTGTGGTTTTTTGGGGGGCAAGATTTTGTTGTCCTTGTTCAATATCCATTCATCCGGTTTTTTTTTTTGGGGGGGGGGCACCCCGGGGGTCATCGGGAACTTGTTGGGGGGGGATACCACTGTCATAAGGACGCTAAGTCTTTTTGCCCATTCGTTTTTGAACCGGGGTGGACGTTTGCGGTGCGTCTCACATACCGACACTGGTGGAAAAGCGTGGCATTCATAGTGTTGCACGTTGACCTCAGGACAAAGGAAGTCCACATAATGTACCGCTAAAAGATGTGTGGACTCGCACATGTCCGCACAGTGTATTCCCTCTTTGAAAAAAAAGCTTCAGAGGCATATTGGGGTCAGGGTCATTTTGTGGCAAAATGAACAGGAGACATCCAGGAAACCCTCATTAAAAATCCAACTCGAAGGAGTTATCCTAGTGGGAGAAAAAGAACATTTCCCCGGGATTTCATTAACCAGAGGGAGAATGAAAGAATGTCCACTTTATTTGAAACAAGCATGGGTGGTTCTGTGTGTTCACGTGGAACCCAAACATCATTCATCCAGGGTACATTCAATCGATACACTGATCTCCGGTCCTCGAAACTGATGTACGACTCGGCTATATATTGCTCTGATGGACACAGGCCTTTACATCTTCTCGCAAAACTTCTCTGGATCTATTCTCTCCTTCAGACAACCCCTCTCTCATGGCCACGGTCTACTCGGAGCAGGTGGAAAACCGCGTGCTGCCCTACATGGGCAAGCGCATGCACTCCTTCATGTTGAGGCAGCACATCGCCGAGACTAAGACACCCCTCGCCGTGTCGGCAGTGGCCGCCATCGAGAACGACCTCCGCAGGGCCCTGGAATTCCTCCACAAGAACGGCCTAGCTCACGGCAAGATAAACGAGGACTTTGTCGCCATCGATAAGGTTTGAAATTGAAAGATGACAGTCCCCAGCTTCTTCCATGGCTCTCTGGGTGTTTTTTTGTTTATTTCATCCATGCCGTTGTTGAATTCGAATCCATGGTTAAGAGACTTGCCTTCTCCATTTTGTCACCAAGGAAAAGCTAATGCTCTTGACAGTCTAAACCAGACTATTAACTTCAAGCTTTAAGTGAATGAATTGCCTTCGATAACAGCTTTTAGCATAAACAAAAATGACAGACCGTTTTTGTGAATGGTGTCATTCAAATTCTCAGACAACACAATAGGCAAAGATTTTCATTCTCGCCCTCCAGGACAAGAAAGACGGGCGTATTGCCTTCCTCGTCATGCGAGGGGAGCCGTTGGACGGGGACGAGAACAGCGGGGTAGGGAACTCCGTCTCGGCAGAGGAAGAGGTGCCCTTACTCCGTCGAGACAACCGCCAGCTGGACGAGCTGCTGGCCAGACTCCGGGGCTCTCACTGATCCAAACCGCAGTGCACACGGGTTCACGGTCTGAGTGAGGATGAGATATCCTCATTTTGGTTTGCTGTTGAACGATTGCATTTATCAATACACGCCCAACCAAAAAGTTGTAGTTCGACATGACAGCATTTATAATTCTTGAAGTAAACCATGTACTTTTAAAAAGTTAACACTGATACCTCCTCACATTATCAACCTCGGCTGCATTATCTCCTTTTCCTGATGATGTTGTAGGTACTTTGAGAGAAGATATAGCTTTATACATGTACCCAGTACTCTAATCCAGTTACCGTTGATTTACGTAGAATCAGCAGCTGGAAGCCAGACCTGAGACTTGTTATACGAAGTGCTATTTTCAAGTAAAATCAAAACTCATTATAAATTTAACGTCAAATAAATTTTGTCAAGAACTCACAAGTTAGTTATAGACAACCAGTAAATATAAAGAAAAGACGAGAACGAGAAGCGAGGCCAAGATGACTTAAACAAGCCACGTCCAGTGGAACTCTGGTCAAAGTGGCCCAATCGCGAAAAGCCCTGTAATGGCGTCACGCTTTTTCATGTGGGCTTGATGGATATCGTGTCCCATTTCACTGCCATTGGAAAGCGTATTATCTAAAACACAGCTTGGCATATTGTGTTACGGTATACTGAACCATTGTTTCACCGTATATACAATGTCAATGCAAAGTACTGTTTCGTAATATGAATTAGATTTAATGAATAACATACATGGCGCAATATGCAAATACTATTCCAAACTTGGCGTGCAATACAATGCCTACTTTAAAGATTAATTTCTAAACAGCGTTGATGAAGTCTCTGGTTCTCGTGCATCCAGGTGCACAAGTTCCAGAACTATAAGGTAGGTTAGGCTTTAGTTCTAGAACTTGTGCACAGTTGGCAAAGCGAGAGGGTGGCGTGGTTCATTTTAGGAAAAGATGGAAGAGAAAGAGAGGGAGTGAGTTGGAGCGGAGGTGGAAGGATGTAAATGTATAATTTGTGGGAAAGGTCAGGTTATTTAAAGGGTGTGAAGAGAAGTTTTGGAAATATGGAGAGGTAGAAGAGAAACAGGGGGAAAGAGTCAAAGTAAAACAAGATTTGAAATAGTGGAGAAATTAGAAAAGCACGACCCACTCAATTTTATGGGAGTTAAGATTTAAGTTTAAAGCATGAATTTTTTTTTAAGGTAGAAAATCAAGGCTCCCCCAGAAAGACAGATTAAAAGCGCGAAAAGCGGAAGACAAAAAACGTTCAGTCATACAGAGAAATTGTTAAAAAGGGACTAAAACATACAGATTCATCTTTGATGACCTGGTTCACATCTAAGCAGAGGACCTAAGGACGTATTGGTTACAGGAATTGAGCATTTTTACGATGAGGAAAACTTACTGCAGAGGAAAAAGGATAGAATGAAGAGGTGTTGAATGAGATGACAGTGGCGCACCCAACGGAGTCTTGAGCCCCCCGTCCACCACCCCCGGAAATTTTCAATATTTTTTTGACTTTCTGAAAAGTAAAGATACATGTTTACCTACTGTAGCTCTGAAAGAGTCGTACAGCGAGTCCCCTGTGGCGCTATCGGGGGAGGGGGTACAAATGTGAGATGCATGGAGTGACAACGCCATGAAATGTAAAGCCGGCGACACTATTTTTTCACAGCATCTTTCATTTTAACATCATTTTGGTAACCGTGTTCACGACAATTGTTGATTGTGCCGAGAGTTGAATGTAGCCGAGTCCGTGTGTATTGGAGCGTCGAGAGAAAGGTCTACAAGCGTTAATGCCAACCAAGCATGCGCTCGGCAACGACTGTGGATGGAACGAAGTTCCAGGTCAGATTGCACCATGACGAATGAGGGAAGTCGTGGCGATGCGTCTTTCAGAAACAAGGACACCACCGCCACACAATGTAGGCTGACGGTTGTTGACAAGCAGCTGATGAAGCTCACCAATTAACATTCGACCGGTAAAAAGTCCTGCTTATATAGAATCATTTTTCAGGCGCAGGTACAATTTTTAGGAAAGCAATGTGGATTGGTGATCAGAATAAAGTCAGCGCATTTGCCAGAGTTTAGTTCGGCGACTGTTGGTTTAACGACTGCAGTTCCACTTTACATGTTTTAAAAAGTTTTTTTCAGAATTATATACGGCTCATGGTGTACAGTATAAAGTTTATAAACATCACACCGAGTTCTTTTGTTAAAGCGCAAATCGGCTGTAAGCTACGGTTCGATTAAAATTATAATACATTTATTATTGGTACGAAAAATATTTCATTTGGAAACTGTTGGAGGAGATAGGCGAAAATTCCTGTTATGTGCAATAAAGATGGCGGTATTTAAGGGTAGTGTACTGTGACTAAAGGGTTAGGGAAAAGTTGAAGTAATGATCGCGGGCAGAACTTACTCCCCTAATGAGAAGAGTTGGTTTGTTCAGGAAGAACTACATGTAGTTTTCTTTTCAGCAAGTGCTTTAATTGTGATTTAAATTCAAAACTTGTGAATAGGCCTAAATTGTTTGAATATCTCGATATGCATATCTTGTAACTTGCTAGTTTTGTACGTCGTACTTTGTGGCTTATATAAGAAACGAAATGTGCTTGGCCGGTCTTTAAACGTGTCAGACCGGTCCGGAGAATGAACGGTGAAAATGTTCCGAACTCGCGCAGGCAAGGTACTCCAAGCATATAACATTTTCAACCCATTCATACTGTTTTGTGTCATAAAGTGAACAAGAAATTGAACAACTTTCATTTCCGACAAGTATGTTCAAAAATTTTACTCCACTCGTTTTAAAACACGTCCAGCCATGTTATGGTTGTGCCTCTAGCGCGTACAGTGGTCGTAATTTCCTCCTTTGGAGATAGGTGCGCGTGGCGAGTACTGCGTGCAGAGGTGCACAGCTAGCTAATCAGTGTTCTAAGACCTGTCACGTGACAGGCTCTTGACTCAAAGAAATGGCTAGACCGTCTTTGGTATTTATGAATATTTAAATAATGTTCGTAATTGTATAATAATCAGATTCAAAACTATTTAATCAGTGTGAATTCATATAACATGGATCATAATTTTTTGAGTGATTTGATAATTGGGTAAGCCATAGGCCTATTTCGTATAAGATTCTTCAATGTTTTCTTAGATGTGCTGAGAATGGAAACATTAAGCCTTCGCATTGGTATTTTGAAGAAAAAAAATTATCTATAGGCTGGCGTAATCCTCATTCTAAACACAGTGTGTAATATATGTATCTTACAGCGATAATTCAGATAAGAAATGCAATTTATCTGCTTCAGGGAGCTACCAAAATAAAGATATGAATTTTCGCCTGACGCTGGGGAAGCCAATTACATGCACTCTATCGTGTGACTTGTTTTATTTTGAAGAAACCTAAAGGAAGGCTCGTTTTATATAGCGTAGATCTTTTTATCGACGTAGGTCCGTTTGCAAATTTAATTCATTTGAACTCCATGAGGTTGTAGGTAGTTTCCAATTACTGGTGAAATGAAGGCATGTCCCTGCCTCTTACAGTTGGCCATTTGGTGAAAACCACGTGATTGACAAGAAGTTTGTCACTGCTGCGTTCAAGGCGACGGCACAGCAACTTACTTCGCTAAGCCTCGTTCGGAAGTCATCTTGCTTTCGCCTCCACGGCTACTTTATCATACTGATTAGACTTTTATTCACTACAGAATTTGCTATTTTTAAACCTCAATACTATAATTCAACTTTTAATTAGCTGTCGTCTTGTCACGTCTTGCAAAGCTGAAAATCACCGTGACATACTTGACAGCCGACTCTGCAATGTTGAAGTGCCAAACTGTACAGAGATTTCATGCAAATGCATTACCTTTTAGGCCTGTGTCGAAGGCATACAGTACTTTACCGTGCTTGTACCATGATTGTAAAAAGGCACATTTTGAAGGAAAATGACAACGCAGTACTAGCACAATAAACGAAAACGAGAGTCAAATTTGTGTAACATTTGTATTTATTTCCAAATGCATTTCCCAACATGACTAATATGTACAAATGTTTCTAAACACTCGTGAAGGCTTTAAATTGGTGCAGCTGTTTATTAACTGGACAACAGAATGCAAGAACGTAGATATTTTATTATCAAAAACACTTGTATGAATTTTTTCAGTGACTACAATTGCAAACGATAACGGTTGAGGCACCACGCTCGTAGGCATCTGGTATGCGAGCGTTGCGTACCTCACCAACCAATAGCATTTGCCATGAACTGATTGGCCAAAATACACACTCAAGTGTAAGATCACATGCAGTGGCATATCCAGGAGGCAGGGGTCAAGCCAACCCCCCCCCCCCCGACATGTTGCTGATTCTGTTGTTTTCAATGAATTGAAAAGCATTGGCATTATAGAATTCGCTACTACCACTATGATGGGGGGAAGGGCTGAAGTTTTTTTAATGGGCGAGAAAAAAAATGCGGGGCTAAGACCTGGACATGGGCGTAAATCCGAGGGAGGGGGGTATGGAGGTATATATCCCCACACACTTTTAGAGGGGGGGATGGGCTACTGAATCATACCCCCACTTTTTTGTGGACTGTGAAGAATTTTTCAGACTTCCTACGACTAAAATGCACTCAATATCACTCAAAGGAGAACAATTTTTTAAAAAGCCATACATATGTCTTTTTGGACACATATTACAGATACACATGCACATTACTATCATGAACTTCAACCTCTTTATAGAGTCACATTGTGTCCCCCACCCCACTTTTCAAATTTACATGACAACCCTTCCCCTTTCCCCACCCCCCCTTCCAGCACAAACGCCACTGGACCTGGATACATGTATATGCAACTGATCAGGGGGTGGTGGTGCTGCTGTAGCAATAAACACCCTCTGGTCAGTCTGTGAGGAGACACTCTCAACTCCACTGAGGTATGTCCGATCCCAGGAGGGCAAACTCAGGTTGCTCTTCTGAAAGGCCAACCCTAATCTCCCTCTTCTTGAGATTCGGTTGAAGTGCCTTGTTTGAACTGCCCTTCCTCCTGCAAAAATGAAGTGCCTCTTTTTCACGCATTCTGCTCAGGATTTCCCATTTTGAGAGGCATTCCGGCACACGAATACCCCTGTATTCACGGAAGGAAAACATCCTCCCCAAATTGGCTTCCGCGTGTATTGTGGCTGAACCAGTTTGCAGGCAAAGCTGTTGTCTCCTCACGTTTTTCTCTCGAATCGGAAGCGGAGGAAGGAGTCCTTGAGAGCGTCGCCGTGGGATGTGATCTGCGGCACAAGAGCACAATAAAGAGAACTTGGCACATGCTGTAGAGTGGGTTACTTCCGAGAAACATCATCTGAGCAAGGCCTATTTTCTCAAGAATGGGCGTTGTCAGACTCACTTTTAACCGGAAGGGGGGGGAATGTCAGATAGGGTGCATAACATTCATCAGCAACAAACCGATAAACCATTAATAGTGAAATGGATCAATTTTGAGAGCTTTTTCAAGCAAAGAGGTGATTTTCGTCTCCTCCCCATCTTTTGTTTTTTCATTTCCTTTTGTTTTTTGTCTTGTATTCCCTAATGTTTTTCCGAGGTAGGCGGGGCAAACCCCCCTTACAACACCCATGTTCCAAAGTAGTCAAAATGAGGTCACCGAGTACTGCACTTCAACTTAAAATTTGACTGCCTTTCACCGAGCTCCCTCAGGAAAGAGATCTGGTATTAAAAGTGTGAATGAAACCCAACACTGAACAACAGCTTATGGTCCACGATCATAAGCTCTAACTAGAGCTCGGATGGCAGTGTTGTATTGGAATCCATCAGAAGTCCCTCTAAGTCCATCACAAGTCATTCAATTTTAAGCCAATAAGCCATTTGCGAATTAAATTCGAGTAAAATCTGGTACACTGAATTATCTGATTGAACATAAACATAACAATTTGAATTCCCCAGACTAAAGACACTGTTGCTATACCTCATGATTCGGGGCAAGCTTTTACTCAGTGACTACGATCTCTGGAATGGACTGGTTCCTTTGTGCCCTTCTTTTCCATTGAGAACGGTGTATTGTTGCAAGGCGTCTCTCATGTAACTAAGGAAAAGCTTGTCCTGAATCACAAGGCATAGCAACAATTTCAATTGTTATGTTCACGTGAATTTAAAGAATTCAGTGTACCAGATTTTATTCAAATTTAACTTGCAAAAGGCTGATTCACAAGCTATTAAAAAAACTGTGACAAAATCATTCTGTCATTTTTCAACCCGTTACTTATGAATGGCATTGCGAAGGGACTTGTGAGTGAACTTGTGACTGGACTTGTGATGGACTTAAATACAACACCGTCTGACGGTCAATTCATGTGTGGGACTGCTCACTCATTATTCCTAGCTATTCCTGCAAGGAAACTTGCTGTGTAAGAAACCCATGGGATTTTCTGTGCTTCAACTTTGGGCAGGCATCAAGACCCATCTAAGGTAACCCAATGGCAGGGAGTCATCTTCCCCAATCCTGCAATTTCTTTTGAAACCTCCTACTGGATTTTGAAGGATGTGTGAGGGTGAGGATTAACCACATGCTGCTGGGTCCACACATACGGGAGATTTTCAAGCTTTTCAGTTTTCAAATTCTTCAAAAATTCATCATTTCATTTAATGGACGTTTACACCCACACGAATGACTGTTTGGTGGCTAGTCTAAGCAGACAGGTAACTTTCATAGACTTCCGATTATTTCAGCCAAGCCTGCTGCCCTATAAAGAAAGCCCAGAATTGTGAGGCATTGCGTAATTTCCTTTGTCCATCAATGGGGTCCTGGAGCACTTTTGTCCATGGTGCTAATCCGCAGGCGCTATGCCCAAAACAGTGGTGTGCTGTTAAAAAATACTGACGGATTACCTTAGCTGCAAAATGATGGCAATTCCCAGCAGCAGGTCTTTTGATCCGAAAACGGTCTTTTGTTACACGGACCAGCTCTTTTATCCCATTTCGGGCACCCCAGCTCTGCGTATAAACCCATGATGCTTGAAATGGGGTCCCCCGACAGCAAGTGGTTAAAATATTCCAAGTTCTCTAAGAACCGCATGTGCAATGCAACCAGTTATGACAGTTCTGTGAACCAGCAGCAAGCTGGATACTTCATGCAGGCACATACCTGGCATCCAACGGCAGTTGCCATTCCTGTGACTTTACTCAGGAATTCTTGGCACTGCTCCGTTTTGAGTTCCAGCATGAACCGCGCTGTCTCAGTTATGACCATGGCTTGGTCCGCAAAGACTGCCCTCAGGTCTTCTGTCAGGTAGTGCACCATACTGAAAAGACACAGACGTTTGTAAATATAATATTGGGAACCAATCTGTAAGACTGCTCCCCATACGGTCCAATTAGAGCCCTCAACGCACTCTCTGACCATCATACTGAAAATACACTGACTCACTGCAGGAGAGCAATGTTTGAATCATCATTACTTGATCTCATAAAGAGTCTTCAAGGCCTGTATGGCTTCTGTGAGATCCTCATACACTGTGTACATGTAGGTCCTGAATCACTGAAGCCTTCATGGAATTTCTGTTGACGGTAGATTGAAGTGGGTCATGTTTGGTTCACAGTGCATAAATGAAATGAATATCTGTTATACCAGGTATGTGTGAAGTGCGTATTCACCGACTACAGATGTGAATCAAGTTCTCACCTGTTGGAGAGGTAGATGATGTTGAATAACCCCTTGTATTTGCCTTTCTTATTTATCTCCCTTGCTGATCCAATTGGAAGGAAGTGAATTTTGACATCTTCTATTGGAATGTTTTCTGTCAAATAACGGAAAATATTTATTTCACCAGCAAAGTTGTGAATACCTCTCAGCATACCATTCAAAAGCAGTAATTTGTTGCAACAATGCTATCAATTGCACAATAATTACAATCATGCCTTGTTAATTTGGTAACTCCTTCATCAATAGCTCACCATGTTCCACACTGGTTTGATCGCTTTCTCCATTTTCTTCAAGTTCTTTCTCCTCGTTCTTATTACTTTTCTCTTCCTCTTCTTCCTCCTCATCTTCTTCTGTTATTTCTTCCAGCTTTGCTCCTTCTGAATTCGCTTTTTCCTTTGATTCCGTTTCCTTACTCGGTTTCGGCAGCACGTACTTTTCTCCCGTGGTCAGCTCATGGAGGATGGCCAGGATGTTGTATTCTGAGATGTCCTGGGCTGTCTGGGAGGGAGGGGGAGATCAGCCCATGGAGGTGAAGGAAAGATATGGGATAACAATTAACGGAGAACCTGCCAAGATGAAACAGGAAAATTGTTACAGGACTCGAAACTAAATGATTTACAGACGACGGACAGAAACAATAAGCCAGTCTGACCTTTGTGTATGTGTCATTCGTCTTCTTCATCAGACTTGCTTCGTTACACTCAATACCAAAGGCAAGGTAGGGACTGCTGACGATATCTCCCCAGTAACCTCGCTGTGGGACATTTCCACCGCTCTGAAGCAACAGCAGAAAAACTAGTACATGTCTATACTTTCCATGAAGCCAATCAACGGCCAAAACATATGTAACATTATGAAACCTATCAACTTTAGTTCAATTAAATGTACTTTATCTGGAATTGAAAATCAAACTCTATTTTCTAGAGTAAGGTCTGTTCATCAAGTCGACATACCTGTTGCTAGTTTTAAAGCCTTGAGCTTTCTGAGGGGTGAAACAGACAAGATATCCCTTTGAAAGTACATCTTGAAATACAAGTGACCTACACCTCCCCTAAATTCCTTGCCCTTGTTCAGAGTATAGCTCAAACTTGCAAGGAATACATAGTCAAGCAGGCAAAGCAATTCGGCTACATGCTTTTTTACCCCTAACCCTAACCGAAGATTTTGTAGAACTGAGGAGGAATACCCTTCCTTATCACTGTTACTTTATAAAGGGCTTGATGCCCTTCCAAAGCTTCAGCAAAGCAGTTCCACTAAAATGCTTCAAGCTCACAGTTTTGACGATAAGTCCCGAGGCAAGCGTCTTGTTGGGCACGTCGTAGGTGCCTTCTCTCACACTGAACGCCGACCCCGTCTCCCTCCAGTAGCTGTACTCCTTCTTGTGGATGATGCCGGCACCGCGGTCCAGTAGCTTCATGTTGTAGTCCCAGTCGTAAACACCTACCCTGGAATCGTACCGGTTGGCCAGGTAATGTCTTAGCCTGTTGTCCCTAATTTAACAAAAAATATAAGACAAGGATTTGAGCCATGGATAAAACAGTTTTCACACTAATGGATCGCTCATTATCAACTCTTTGATCAATCTGCAAAGCTTACCAGTTCCTCAAAAGCGAGAAATGTTTCTTTTTTACACTAATTCCTATGATTTATTTCACCAAATTAAGACTATTATACATTCAATTTGAACTGAAGTTAAACATCAACACTGAGAAGGTCCACTCTTCAAACCAACCAGCACTTGGAGATATCAAAAACTCTGTCGTCGCTGCCCCTCCAGAACTTGAAGATGGCCTCCAGCTGATCTCGCTCTTTGAACTTCAACAAGGACAAGTCAAATGCCGGGAGCTCCCGAGCTAGATAGTCCAAGTCGGTCACCATTCTGTGGAAACAGAAAAAAGATCAATATTGTGACGACCTCGGGTTGTCCTTTGTTTAGGGTACCGCTGTTTTTAATCAGGCACGTAGCTTCTATTGCGCGTTTCTACCACGGGTCACTTCCTTTTCTCACTGGTGAAAAAATGGTTGCACGTGCGCACTCTTGCGACTCAGCAGCCAATTAGGGATTAGGGAAGGTTTGCACAGTCCAATCACAATTAAGGGGAGGCGGGAGTTAGGAACAACTGTTTTTAATTATAGGGTCTGAGACTAATACAGTATTAGTTGAGAGGAAATTTGAAATAAAGAGGGAGAACTGGTCTGGAGATGAAATGAAAAGGACTTGTCCGAGGCGTACATGTATCTCTCTGGGGTATGTTTTAGCAGGATACACTCGCCAGCGCAGCACTTAAGGCAGGGAGGGCAGAGGCACACACCGTCCCCACGCTACCTCGTGACGGACCGGTGCGTGATTCCATAAGGGCAGCTCTGTGCTGACAGAACCAACCACTCGGTTGACAGTAAAGGTCTGTTGCAATATTAATCCTTCTGATGTGAAATGACAGAGGTCCTACATTTACATGCCTGCCAACATTTAAAAGTCAGAAATCGGAACAGCCATTTTACGAGCCTATAGCGATGCAACCAGCCACATGAGATTGAGAGAGCTTTTTACATTTGACGCGACTACATACATGTATCCGCATGTGTAACAAATACCATTTTGACAACAAATAGCGCCCTAATTTTTCTGCAAATAGCACCCTCGCTTGAAGTTACTTTTACATTTTTTTTCTTCAATGAAAATCAGGATGTCCTTTTTTTTGTCGATCTGAAAACAAAAAAACTGGGAATGGCTGGCCGGTACGCATGTACAATTCACTGCCATCAGTAAAGCATTTCAATCAACAAAAATTACAAGTTTCTATCACTGTCCCTATGTGGTTTTGACGGGATCATTCGCGCACACTGAAATTTGAAATTACTACTAAATGCCATTGCACTGTAAACTCCTAAACCCTGCATCTGAGAAAGAAGTCATTACTGGCCTGCAGTGTTGTATTCGAGTCCATCACAAGTCCCTGCAAGTCCATCACAAGTCCATAACAAGTCCCTGTAAGTCCATCACAAGTCCATCACAAGTCCCTGTATGTCCATCACAAGTCCATCACAAGTCCCTGCACGTCCCTGTAAGTCCATCAGAAGTTCATAACAAGTCCCTGCACGTCCCTGTAAGTCTATCACAAGTCCATCACAAATCATTCGGTCTTAAGCCAATTCACAAGCTATCCAAATGAGCTGTGACAAAAGCATTCTTCTGTCATAGTCCACCCTCACGCCTAAGACTGGCCTCAGAAAGGAGTTGTGAATGGACTTGTGAAGAGGCTTGTGAAAGGATTTGTGATGGACTCGAATACAACACCGCTAGCCTGGTAAGTGGGCGTAATAATAATCATCCAACTACATGAAATTCTGTGGAGGTGTGAGAATTCCACAGACCTTATGAAGTCATTTGCTTTGCTGACAATGTAGTCCCTGGTCTGTCGTCTCACCAAGGAGTTCCCAAAGACTTCAAGGAACAATTCCGTCTTTTCCTGCAGTCCCATCAGCTTGGGAGACTCCAGGGCTATGCTGGTGAGCAGTAAGTGACGACCGAGGAGCTCCAAATTGCTCTCAACGACATAAAACTGCATGGGACAAAGAAAAGTTGGGAGATCAGGTGTTACATTGGATAAGGTATTATTTTTTAACATCTCTGCTGAGGTGTTTCCACAAAGGTGTTGTTTTACGTGTGGTCACAGAGACTTAAGTTGGTGGTTGAAATCTCACCCAGCTCGTAAAAGAACCATGTTGGTGTTTAACTGTGCAATTTAAACCCTTTTTCCTTCCTTCATGCTGCCAGCAAAAGACAATCTAGACCAGGCCTTTTTCACAAGAGTGCTAGAGTGTATTATGGGAACAAGATTGACACCCATACTTCATACTTCAAAAGGGCAGGGTAACTGGATTTCTGGTGGGTGGAGTTTCCTGTGCAAGAAAACTGAGGGCTTTAAGGTTAGCTAAAGAATATTGTGTTTGTTTTGCATCACACATACACAAAGATCAGCCCATTAACATTGCACAAGATTTTGACTATAAAGATGAAAAGTGCCCACGTTTTTTTTAAGCAAATTGTTTTTGGTGCGCTAACGTGAGACTCATCCAATTTCAACTGGTTCCTCTCTGATTAAGCACAGACAACAATAGATTCTGACAGTGAGCACGCTGAAAGCACTTACATTGATTTTCCTCTTAGTATGCCTGTGTGATAACGCAAGGGTCTTTAGCATGTGTCTGCAATCACCAGCCCCGATCATCAAAATGTTGAGATCTGAGGAAGATTCGCTGTCTCTGACTGTTAATTCACAAAGAGGGTGAAAAATACTGATGTCTTTTCACTGATTAGCAGGTCAATGTCAATCAAAATGGACATATTTCTGAACTTGAACTTCAAACTCTATAGAATGAAGAAGTGAATGTAGAACAGGTGCATTCTTGATTTGATCACACTACAGACAATGTTTCAGAGGTGATTTGAGTAGTGGTTTCCTTAATCAGTTTCAAGATGGCTGTTGTAACCAAAGAATCTGGCAGTCCGTCGATTCAGTGCCTATTACTGGTAACACAACCATGACAGTCAGGCTCAACTGAACATAAATTACCCTTGACATTGTGACCACACTAGGGCACGCCCCTGTTCACTGGAAACATCAACAGGATCACGGCCTGCCAGCTTTACTGCATACATGTATATTCGAAATATCCTGCAGTAAACATAGTTTCCCGTCAATTCTGTCCTGACTACACGTACAACTGGGACGGGGCCTATGCAGACCTGTAGTGAATGGTGTTGTGGTGTCCCAACCTTGTCACCATCCCAAATGTGTCCGTGACACCCTTAGGGCATGCGTGACTGAATCAGCACAGCCTGGCATGCCCCACTTGGTTAATAAGAGCACATTGAATAAAATTGTGAGAACTGGGTTTACCAGTTAAACAGGGTTTTGCATGTTGTTAAGCCATGGTTGGGATGGCTAAAGTGCTGTTTCATGTATAACTGACATCGCTGCATTCCATTGATTTTGCTCACTCTCCTCCCCTCCTCTGATCATTTTTCTTCTTGAAATCAGTCCTTTTTCACTTAATGTGTTCCTTTTCTCTTATTTTAATCTTTAAATTCTTGACACAATCTGCAAAATTTTCACAATACTTGCTTGCCCATGCTCTTTCCCTTTACAAATTTTTTTGTTTCAAAAATTTTGAAAAGGGAAAAAAAAGAAATTAGAAAATGATAAAAGGGATGAAAAACATCAATATGCCAACAAAAACCTCAAATGAAGTTGAAACTCTCTGGCCTTTATGACTCTGAGTGTTTTACCCCATTAGAAATTTCACCCTCAAAAATGGGACTCCCTCAAGTGTGAGACTGCTCTGAAAAATACTCAGTCTTTTCTGAGAGGGAGTAATTGCAGAATACCCCGCCACTCTAAAAACGACCCCTGGAATGACTGGTTACATGGGTACAACAACATGTACAAGGTGAAAATCCCTCCAGAAGAGTGTGACACTTTGACCTGAACCTGGCTATGAGGTTGATCGAGTGGGGTGGCGTCTCAGTGAGAGAAAGCCTCATTATTTTTTAAGGGGAAATCAGTGGCGTCCGTACAAACCATAACAACAAACATAGGCCTACTAGTAGTACTACTAGGATGTATGTGCATAGAATACTTTCCTGCATAAAATGAGGGGTTTTTCGGGGGGAGGGGGTGTGCACAGGGTGTCAGAAGCGTCCGTCATGTCCGTGCTCCCGTGTCACTTTGAGTCCTGAACCTTCACTGCACACAATCCAACACCTCCATCCAAGATGAAAAGCACGCCAAAATTCTGCCGCTAACTGGCTAAATTCTTTTCACCGTTACCTTTGTCTTGGAAATCTAGTGCAGGGCTGAACCCCCACCAGGTTATTGCTCCAAATGCATCCACCATCTTTCAGTGCAACGTCCTCGAAAACAATAACGGTAATTTTTGCCTCTTCACGTCAAAAAGTGAGTTGGTAACCGTAAACAAACCCAACCGTACCGTCCGGATGGCGGACCCACCGCACACGTTCACGTCACACATTTTGGCAACTAAACCGTACGTAGTGCATTGTTATTATTAGTGTTTTCCTCACCCGGTTCCCCACTGGAAATTCAATAGCTAATATGCGTCGCACAACAACGCGAGACTCGAGAGCAAAATGGATGTCAATCACGGAGTGAAGATTTGGGTAATCGTAAATCGCGTCGATTTAGGCGGTAAGAATTTAGAAAAGGACTCCAGGAGAACCTTAATTAAGCTTTGTACGATCACATAGTATTTAGCTGACTTACAACACTCACTTATTGTTTCTCTTCATAAATCGTTTCTTGCATGATGAACGATCATCATGAACAGGCATGACAGGACTATTTTATGAGTAGTACGAATACGAGGCGTACTGACTGACTACAATTTATTTAGCATGTTTAGTAGGTTCATAAACTTTTCAGCTATTTTTTTCTGTTTTTTTTTTGAAGCGATCCTGGAGAGGATGTCACAAGAAACATTTTGATATAAATTTGGATTCCATCAGACTCTGCGAAGCAAAGAAAATTTGAAGCGGGAATATTTTGAGAAGATGTTTTTACGTCATGTACGTGTGTAATGCAGAGCAAACCGAATTTTTTACCCAAAAATGAGTGTGGATTTTGATTGAAAAATGTAAAATTCACATTTCCATAAAATGTTTGTTCTTATTTGTGCCTTATTTCAATGAAGTAAATACTGGCTTCACTTGAAATTTCAAAAATTTTGAAATTGAAAATTAAATAGAAGAGCTATAGCCTGCGAAAAAAACAAATTTTAATCATACTAGTTTCCAAATAAACAGTGCCCTCACTCATTTATACATATCCCTATGGTTAGAACTTTATTGTTTTAGTTAGTAAGAGCTTGTCCGCACGGTCACATGAAGATACGTAGTAAATTTGTATGTAGCCCAGGGGGCCTAATTAAAGTTCGCTGAATTTTATCATGTTTGTGTGTTTTTTAATGTAGAGCCTACATGTACGTCCCAAGAATGATACAAAATCTGTCACTCTGGCCAACATCGCCAGGCCGCTGAATCACATTTCTAATCCAAAGCTGTGGAAGATTGTGTTGGAAATGGAAGTTAAGCTGTAGCATTAGATTTTACATGCACAGTGCAGAGTCGGCCAGAGGCACAGTGCAATTAACCACTTGCGCAATTCCCCACTTGCGCAATTCCCAATTATGAGTTTTCACCATTCAGCTGAACTGTCTCGACCATCACTTTGCAGGGTTGAATCTGCTGTGAGACTCAAACTGGTGATGTTTTCTCATCTCTGTTTATGCACGTGTATGTTTGTTTTCCCCTTAGGGACACCATCTTTTGAGAGGCAGGCAGCAACACCGGTCCTGCTTCCCCAGAACACCAGCTCTGCCGAAGTCCAACAGGCTGTCAGGAAGGCGTTGCAGTTGAAAGATGAAACTCTTGTTCTGAAGGTGGGTGGGGCACTCAGGATTGGCCCTTTAGTCATGCAATTTATTTTGCGATAAAAAAATTTCATATCTGGTCATCACTTCGGTCAAACCCAGAATGACTGGTCTGAAAAAATCCAAGTAAATACTTACAACATTTGTCCTGCTTTAGTTGACTTTTTAATATTTATTATTACTACCTGGTGGCCCATTTGTCACTGCAGGGAAACAATGATATCTGCGTATTTAATTCTTCCCTAAGGCCTGTTGGCCAAGCCAGAATATTGTATCTAGAGCCAGGGCTAGGCCTTTGCCCATTCCAGATACATGGACACTTTACAATTAGCTCTCAGCTTTACATGTAAATCTCGAGACCTTTTTCAGACACAACCAAAAGGGCAAAATTGCATTAGGGTAATTCCAGAAACTAGGGGTCCTTTTTTTCGTGTCCCTGTCACATCTGACATATGATTTTGTAAGTTCAGAACACATTTTCTAATTTCCAAGATTTCCAAGAGATCCATTACATTTTGAAACAAAAAGCAGTGGAGCTATTTATAATTTCCCAAACCTTTTCTGCACTCTGCCCAGTCTTGACACCGTCCTTTCTCAACCAAATATAGATTTATGCAATTAAAGTCAATTTCACTTTGATAACACGTTAAAACTATTTATTCCTAAGTTCTTTTACCATTCACCAAGAATAGGCTTCTTGATATCAGAAGGAGATATGACTTTTCACTTTTTCAGTTGAGGAACAGTCGAGGTTCCCTCATACCCATCAACAGCCACGTTACATCCAACTCAAAGTTTATGTAAGTATATTGGGAAGTTGAAGCAGTTTATATAACTTGTGATGTAGCATGGATGCAGAGTGGGAAGTATGGCATATGTTGCTTGTTTCATTTCTGTTCTAAATTTTACAATAACACAAAGAAAGGAACGATAATTATGTTCATATCAGAATGGAATTAGAACTAGAATTTTATAACTTCGGACTATTGTATTGGCAAATAACCATTGAAACTAGATTTTGCATTGCATTATTTTTTCTGTAATAGGCCATACACATTGGAGGTTGTACAGCGATATCAACATAGTAAGTTTGGTTTCACTCTCTTAAGTATCATTGTGGAGAACAATCTTTGACAAGAAAACGTGTCTAAAAGTAGGTCATTCTCTCAGCATTTGGTTTCACAAAAGCCCCACGAAACAATACAATGGCTACTTAATGCTATTAATAAGGGAATAGATATGTGCTTGGCCGGTCTTAAATGTGCGTTTAAGACTGGGTCAGGAGAATGGACGCGACTGATGCCCCTGAGGCTCAGGCATTATCATTTTCCTGAACACCCCCGTCCATTTTATGGTATATTCCTTTTGCGAGTTATCCAATAGAAACTCCTTATATATGGACTTGGCGCACGCGTGGCGAGCCGTGTGCACACAGACTCTTGACCAATCAGAATCGATTAAACTCTCTTGTATCCAGGTGCCAGCATGTGATTAATGCAGCGGGCATTATCAAATGTGACCCACTCTGTGAAAATGAGTCTTAAGTTGCCAGAGCCACTTCGGAGTAAAAAGTCCTTTAGAATAATTTTGCACAGTGTGAATCAATAGGAACCCACAGCATTTTTCACCATGGAGTATCCACTTTCATCAAGATGCCAAACTGAGTGATACATCAAAACAAAAAACTCAATTTGCTCTTTCCAATACATACGAAAACTCAAAAAGTGGCTCTGGCAACTTAAGACTCATTTTCACAGAGTGGGTCACAAATGTTAATATTCAGTCAAGCTGCACGTTGTTGAACAGGGAGACTGTCTGAGGTATTGATGAATACAATATATCGCCTTTGTATGTCTCTGTGTGATTCAAATTGCTGGTGATACTTTGACCCACATGTAGTTCCTTGTCTCTTCTACAGTTAAACCGATGCCCAGATCCGTCAAATTAAATGGCTTTAGCGAGATCACCAAGGTCAGGTTACAGAAAATCATGCGGAGGGTAAGCATCCTTGAGCCTGTGTAGTGTCCCGATCTATCAAAAATTTCCCCAAGTTATCGACTGGTGTGCACTCAAATGCCAATCGGGGAAGACGTCCATGCTTTTGTCGACCATCAACTTGAAAAGTAATTTCCCGTGGCAACCTCTAGGTGGCGTAATGTATTGTGTATCACCCCTATTGCATGTGCATTGAACGCACGTCACATGCTCACGAGCGCGATGTGATTGTTGTGGTGGCGTCTACTCAGATTATTCCACACAAAGTAATGCAGAAGTCTCGACGCACAACCACATTTTGTTTTTCAATTTCCTCAGTTGTCTGAGATTGAGATTGAACTGTAGAGATTTCTCAATTTATGCATATCTTTCCTGTGACAGCTAGAGCAGCTTGAACGATCAGTTCCCGAGCTCAGAAATCGACGGGAGGAGAAAATTAAACAGGTGGGTTGATCCAGAACTAATATGCATTCAGCAAAGCAACACTAAAACCTCCAAAAATCATACACTGGAGCTGTGGTTGAAGTCGATTTCTGGGGCTGCAAGTAAACCTTAAGACATGTGGTGTAGTAAGAACCATTCTTGGGTACACTGTACATGTATAGCGTATATCCTAGTTTTGTTTAAATACGAAGAGTTTCTCAAAGAAAAATCCATGTGGCACAGTGAAAAAATGCATTGGAAGTTAGCAAAATGTACACATAAGTGCCTGCCATGGATCACCTCATTACTTCAATACTGTGGAGTCCTTATTGAAAAATCAAATTAAAAGGTCCCTCATATTGAAAAAAAATTGCTTTATGACTAAAATAAGCAAGAGAATTTGGTGAAATTTAAGTATACTTCCGCCAATAACTAGTTACAAGATTAAGAAACTCCGAAAGATGTTCTGTTTCAAATGAAATATTTCTTTCAAGCTCAGAAGAAAGTCCTTAGAGTATTTTTTTCTAAAATCACGTGACTGCTGCCAGGACTTTTGAGTGCCTGTGAGCCAACAACCTGCAGTTGGCGGTACATTTTCCATCGGGAGGCGCGAGGAATCCCCAACAACGTTACTTCTTGTTACTTTTCCCCCACCAGGAAATGGAAGAGCTGAACGAGAAGATGAAATTCCTGAACAAGAGGATGCAGGAGGCGGAGGGTCATAAATGGAAAGGCATGTTCAAGAAGCACCCGCTGTGGTGAGGAGGACCAGACCGTGGGGGTTGCCTCTGCATATCACTGTCAACCAGTGTTGTACTGGATGTATCACCGTATCTTGCGGTTTTTTGCATGCTTAGAGGGTCCAAGCCATGCAATCATTTTACTGCAACCCTTGAAAATGCACCTTTGCGTTTTATTTATTGTTTTTAAAGGCATTTTTTGCATCTTTTTAGTTTTTTTATGCTGATGCAGATTTCCATATTCATGAGCAAAACTGTGATGTCATCCAAGGGAGAAAACCTCAATGTCACAGTGATTTGTGCACAAAACCTACTGAAATTTTTTACATTCTCGCAGTCCTTAATTACCTTTTCGCTATGGTTATGTGCTGTTGTGTATTAAAGTACATGACAATGAGCCAACGAGCAAACCTTTGTCAGAAATGTTTCCAGTGAAAACAATTTTCAGTTCTCACAATTTGAACAAAAAAACCCATAAAGTGAATACTGTCCTCCCTGATTGACTGGACATCTTGAAAAGCCAGAAAAGCTTGGACTTTAAAGTAAAACAACCCAGCATTATCCAGATCTCAGTGTATTTAACCCCAGAAGTGTCATGTATTTGCGTGGGTTATACCGGGGGTTACAAGGTGGACAGGCGACACTAGGAGCTGCCATGTTGGAAAAGGGTGATTTATTATGCTGACAGTGCATGACGTCATCAGTTACATGAATATTCATGGTGTGCATAAGTAATACAGTTCTGATCTTGCACAATACATTACGAGAAGGCTGTCAGATAGTGTTCATGCATTGGAGATGAGAATAAAGAAGGGCAAAATTTAATTTCAGAAAACTTCATCACATGGGCCCTTTAAGCTGGCATGCATAAAAAGCTGGATTACCAATGCTTGGCTGTTTGGACAGTGTCATTAGGCATTGTATGGGCCTGTTTTGAGCAAGCACCTTGCACTGGGATGAAAATATGTACAAAAATTGGGACTATTTATTCTGCTGTAGAAGTTGGAGCAGACATGGTAGTAAATTTGTCTGACATCAAGTTTAAAAAGACCAAATAGAACTGTACATTCTCGTGAAAATAATCATTAGAATTTGTAATTATTACTGTAGATTTTAAAATTTAATGTTCATTTCCTGGCCAAATCGGGTCACTTGCACGTGATTGTTAAAGATCTTGATGTGTGACTTTAGATGAAGATACTTAATATGAATTTCAACGTACTTAGCACAACATGTAGTTCTTTTCTGGCATGTTTGGGTTTTTTATTGGGGAGACAAGTTCCTTGCTAGATCTTTGTCTCCATTTAGCCACCGTGTGTTGTACAGATGGTAAAGTTTAACTTCTTTTTTATAGGAATTTTTCTATTATTGGGGTTTGTTTTAATAATGTTGAGAAATTTCCCTCAGAATTCCAACAGTCACAATGTGGCAGAAAATAACCACACACACGTGCGCCTGTGGATGCCCCTGTGTCCGGCTGCGGCTACTTCCCACAAGTGGACTACAAGCCGCAGCCAAGACGTTCAGACTCAGCCAGACTTACTGAAGTGCAATAATTTTGTTACAGTCTCTGCATTTAGGCCTACACGTATGTGGTAGATCAAAGTAAGGAGGCAGAAAAAAATTAAAAGATTAAACAAGATAGTTTGTCCTTGTCATTTCTTTTATTAATATGAGCATTTTACATGCACGCCAGTCACCAGTAGGCAACCCAGCCTTTGAAGATCCAACTTTAGCCCTCTACTTTGCAAGTTAATGACGATAACAAAACACTTCAAGTTTCATCTTTGGCCCTATTCAGAGCCAAAATTTCATCTAAAAGATTGCATCCATTCGTATCTCCCCAAACATGCCTCTCTGTGAAACAAAAACTGTTGAGTAGATTCGCCTAAAATCAGCCCTACGAGTGTTGCCTGGACACTCACCTCGCCGGCTGTGTACAACAAAGCGAATGTCCAGGCCACTATCTTGTGGGGCTAGCCTGAAAGAAGTTGCTCCGTGCACATTAACTCTCCCATGGAGGGAGGAAAACAGTTGTCTTTCTTAGCATACTTTAACCCTAACAGTCCTCAGTCTTCCAACAGGTGAAGGATTGAGGACGGTTAGGGTTAAGTATACTTAGGGATATTCTTCGACATGAGAAGGTTATTTCTAGAGTCACTATATCACCACCCTTCATTTCCTAAGTCTGATGTTGGGCCATCTCAGAACTCACCTCTCAGCCTGTGATGAGGTGTTCATGCACATGAGTGAGGATTGAGCCACAGAGGGCGTACTAACATTTGTTTTTGTAAGCATTTCCAGACTAGGGCACGATATTCATGCGTACGCGTATGGTTGCATATGTATCTCCACGATATACAGTGTACATGCAGAGCCAGTTAGCATGAAACACGGTGTACGGTACCTACGTGTATATATCAGTGGCGGATTGGATCTTGCAGACAAACTGTCACTCACAGTGTCGGTGTCGAGGACTGTCGTTGTCAAGCTGACAGCAGATAGGTAAGACGTCTGGATGCCGAGATAGAAATGAGCCGCTGTAGGCCTAACTGTGTTATGATTCTAAATTTGTGGCACTTGGCATTGTAAAGTTGTAACACTCGAGCGAAGCTCAGACCATGCTCAGACTGAGTCAGCTTCCGGAGGACAAACATAGAACATGCATAGAATCATTTGTTTTTTAACATTTTAATTGCACGGAACATTGCGTGCGTGGTTAGGTATGTCGGGAATCCCCAGATTTTTCTGCTCGTTCATATGAAAGGGAAAGTTCCACAATGGAATCGGTCGTGTGACAGATTTTCTTTTCACAATCAAGACCTGATGAAATCTAGCCATCACTTGTAGATTTTGCACACTGTTGTTGTATTCAGAAGCAACGTTTAATTTCTTAAATGTCCTGTCTTGTCATACATGTGCATGTACATAACATACATAAGCAACGGAATAGTTAACATGGTTAAGAAAAAGTCCCATACAGGTATAAAAAGAATTAAATACTAATATTTACAACTATAATCAGGCCTACATGTACTGAATGAAAGTAATAGGCCTACCCTCTTACAGACTCTACAGTATAACTAGGACACTGTACTTAGCTTAGGCCTACTTTGTAAATTTCATTGGGTCTTTGACTATCCCCATACTGTGGTCCCCCTATTGTCGTGACTGTGCTACATGTACATGTCATTGTTGGATACAGAGGTACATGTACATGTAAAATTATCCAGCAGACAAGCCCTTGTCTGGGGTTAGTCTTGGAGCATTTAATTTCAGTGCAAGGCCAGGAACATCATAATTAGACAGATTAAAGACCAAACTTGAGCTTGGCCTTAAATTCTATAACTACATGTACTGTAATAATTGGCATTGGCGCAGTCTTGATCTTTGCCTGATCTGTCAATCTTATTGCATGATTTCAACATTTGCCAATGGTAGTCTACTATCAATTGGTCATCTTTCCTTTTTAATTCAGATTTTCATTCAGTAACGACTGATACTAGCACAGTCTGATTATTATTATTATTCTATTCTACATTCTTCACATTTATAACACAAGAAGAGGAACACTGGGCTGTTATACTTCTTGCACACAACACTAGATACAACCGATCAAAGGCCAAACTCAAAGGAATTAGGGGTTCAGTGTCCCATGGGTCTAATGGGGTCTAGTGGAACAACAGTCACCATCCTTCAGTGACCTGATGATCATGTTACAAACCTCACTTCATGAGGTAAACGGCACCTCGTGTACATGTAGACCCCAGCATGCAGCAGCTTGAATCTGTGTCAGTCGATCCCACTAATATTAACGGATACATCACAACACAGAAAGAGTTTAGGTTATTATTGTAGTGAGCGAGCAAAAATAACAAAAAGTTTAACTTGCATGATAGGTAGATCATGCAGTCCAGGGGACCGTTGATCAGAGAACCACCAATATCCCAACCCAGTTTCTGTATGTCAAACGATTGTGCAAGTTTTACCCCTAGTCATAAGGACTCTTGTGCTTGTGTGTGCCGAAGTATGCAACCTGTAAATAAAGCATTGCTTCAGAAGTTCAGTGCGTTACACTGCACACAGTCACTAGATGACTGAACTCTGCTCTTTTTGATTGATGCTTTCGAAGTCTGCCAGTGTACATACATTGTACTAGATACGCGAACAGTACATGAATGACACTTATATTGGTGCTGCCTACAGTGTAGGTGCCTATTGCACATGTACAGTATGTGCATGTGGACCAATCATCCATTGCAACCACTAGTGCAGGAAACAAAACTACGGACATTCCCCGCAAGACAAACCAGGAAATACTTGTTACAAGCTGTGTACATGTACATGTAAATAAAGCGATATCAGCCAGATACAATATACATGTACAGTAACAAAAACTCGACCTTTCTGAATTTTTACAAATAAGATAATTTGTTCAAGAAAAATGTAAGTTTTTTTTGTAACTCTTTCATTTGAAGTCCAACTGCTGATGAAGCTGAATTAAGTGCAGATTGCCGCTTTTGATGATCTACATATGTGTACATGTGTGTACGTGTACTGAGTGGCCACCAACGCAGTCATGGGTTGCGGAGCCTCCCGTAGCTTGGATTACTCCTCAGAAATCAGCCAGCAGTGGGACAGCGTGAGCAAGACCATCGAAGTCCAACAGCAGAACAAGAAGCTGGTTATCAAGCGGGTGGGCTGGAAGACGATTCGAGTCTTTGTGTCGTCCACGTTCCGCGACTTTCACGCTGAACGGGAGGTGTTGATTAAAGAGGTAAAGTGAATGTTTTTGATTAATACCCCACCCACTTTTTTTGTAACCGTTCCCCTCCATTTTACCCAGTGACCCATGCCAGGTGAGAAGAGGGGTAACTCCTCCCCTCCCATTTTTACATGTAACCATTTTTTTCTGGTTTTCCTTATTTAATATTTTGTATCATTTGGAATTAACAGGCCTGTCATCTTGGGGGGTGAATTTATGATGAAAAAAGTTGGACAATCTTTTTAGGAAAATTTCCATTTTCGCCCCCCGGACTCAAGAGCTGGATAGGCCACTGATTTCACCTTAACTTCAAGATTTACATAAGTGGTGCCTCGATGTACGTCCCCATCTCCTTAGTTGAGATTTGTACCCCTCTCCCACTATTATTTGTTAATTGGAATCAGAGGATTTGGAACTGCTCGTGTCAAAGAAGTTGAATTTACAGATGACAATTTCTGATCACTCTCTTTCAAATCAAACCCAGAAAAATGTGCATCATATCTCATTATCACACCTTGACTTCTGGCACTGAAGTTCTGGTACCGATCAATACGGTAATCTACAGAATGTTGCAAAGGTACATGTGGGTACTGTCAATCCATAAATCAGGGGTCCATTTTTTCTGTGTCCCTGTCACATCTGACACATGATTTTGAAAGTTCAGAACGCTAATTTCCAAAAAGAGATGAATTAATGCAAATTACATGTACCTGCCAAACAGATAGTAATAGTTTGAAATCAGAACTTTTCCAGTCAAATAGCAAAGGTCAGATGTAACAGGGACACAAAAATGTCCCACTTTTGGACCCCAGATTTCTGGAATTACCCATGTACATTTATGTACAGGTTTCAGTCATCAAGAAATTGTGTGTAGAACTTAGTTTCTGGACTTCAGTCCACTTGCATATTTCTGATCAAGCTATAGACACAGGCTTCACTGCTCCAGGGTCAGTTGTTTGAATTTTTTTTTTTAGTATAAATTTGTGGTCATCAAATTTAATGACAAATGAAAGGGAAAGTACTACCTGTCGCACCCAGCGGGCATGACCTTAGAAAGAAAAAACACAGATTTACTGTACATGCAGTCTGATTATTTCCCTCTCGATAAAATTCTTGAAAGTTTACTTTTTACACCATTCTACTGAATCAACATACTTTGTAAATCAGGTTCAGTATGGAATCTTGGATTTGTGATGTGCCAGAATATGTGCAGTGAAACTTCGTCTCATTCACTAAAGCATTTCCAGTCCTGTTACAAGGTCAAGCTTCAAAAAAAGAAGCTTTACAAATGGACTACGGATGCCATACCCTGAATATAGACAATGCCACGAACTCCGAGAATGCTTTTAGAAAGCTGACCAAATAACCTGTGTACATGTGCATTATGTACCTTGTAAACTACTTGTGGCAGGACTGACAATGCCTCATCAGGGTACATGTGGGTGTACCTACATGTAGATAGCTGTAGATCTTGCAAGTCAATACACCTTGTGTGTATGAGCACAATAGGCTTTACTCAAGCATGCCTAATTGTCATTTTGAGTAACCTGTTGGTTGTTGCCACTGGCGACAGTTGCTAAGTTGATCTCAACAATCAATAGTTAGCAGTCGAGGCCGTACAGAAGATGAGAAATGCATCACGCACCCTTTTTTTCATTTTGGCAGCATTGGCCCTGCTTGTTTTATTTCCATCCATGTGAAAAAGATTGGTGTACATGTACATGATTTTTTTATCTCATGACGACTTCATGTCACTTTTTTTTGCATACATGTATGCACATGTAGTACTTGAATTAAAATTAAATCCACCTCTTCTCTTAAAATTACATACAAAAGTGTTTTTTAATTTGCCAAATTATTTTGTAAAAATAAGGTACTTGATATGTACATGTACGTGTATCGAGGCTAGGAAATCTTTAATTCCGTTTCCTCACAAGTGACTTTTCTGCAAGGTCAGAATGTGGATATTTGTCATAAATTTCCAACTGACCACAAAAGCCCAAGTTTCCCATTTGAATAGTTACATGTAAGATTTTCTTCACCTACATGTATATGTACCATACATACCTGATGTTCCTTTATAGTAGAATGAAAAATATGGAATATTTTGTACATGTTCATGGGTTAAACATATTGAACACAACCATCATGTCTAGAGACTATAACTCTTGTGTATTTTTGTATCTACAAGACATTCGAGCATTTTATTCTAATAGTAGTGCGTTTGTGATGTTGAATCAAATAATTACATGTATAAAATCATTTAAATCCATACATGGACATGCAGTTGTTCATGTCCCTGCAGATCCAATTTCATTGTTTTTTGAAACTCATCCTCTCGATGCTTCCAACAGAGACTTGAATTGCATGATAGTCAACTCCAACCACTCATCATCGCTTCCTTACCAAAGGTGCTGCAAGACATTGCAAAATTCAAATACATATATGTACACATTCATGTACATGTATGTACCGGTACACACGTGAACCCAGCGAGATCTAACAATGGCGATTTTTGTTTCATGCTATTTACAGTAGAGAACCGTAGTAAAACTGTAATTGTATCATTGAATATGTAGGCCTATTGTTTTAGGAGCTTTGGTGATTTCTGTGGATGGTACACAGAATTTCAACCAATTTTAGGTAAAGTCAGGGGAAAACTTAAACCAAAGCTGTACTTTTCTATAACTCCACCAATGGTAAAGTTTTGGCTGTACGTTGGCAACCTGTATATTCCTGGACTTTTTTCTGGTTTCTTTTTTTTAAGTGAAAGTATTTCCTAAAGAGATGCATCAGAGCACTATACATTGGTACATGTACATATACATGTATAGTGCTGAGCTATTGTGTTTTACACTAAAGACAATTCTCCATCCAATTTTTTTTTGGTAATGTCGCCAGAAAATTTAACTCTATAGTCGTTTTTATGTTCTTTTGGAATCGAAATAATTTTAGATGCCTCTTGCACATTCATATGCATAATTAGGTCTCATATGTACTGCATTAGCTACTGAGCCAGTAAGGCAGTATCAACAATTATGGACCATCCATACTAAACAGCTTCAGAGCACATTTTGTACAAAAGCCCCAATGCACTGACGGCATTATTATCCCCATTAAACAGACATGCAAACACTCCTCAAACCATCACAGCTCCCCGGGGAGCTGTGATGTGTGTGCAGATGTCTAAAACAAGTTGGGTATTCTGGGATTGTGGCATTGTATTTAACCATTGACATAGAGTGAATAGCCACACCCATTAGTGCATGTACATACATGTATATGCCATATGTGGGTGATTCCAGAAATTAGGTCCAAAAGTGTGACATTTTCGTGTCCTAGTTACACCTGACCTTTGCTATTTGACATGGATATCACCGGAACTGATTTCAAACGATTACTATTTGTTTGGCAGGTAATTTGCATTAATTTATCACTCTTGGAAATTATGCGTTCTGAACTTACAAAATCATTTGTCAGATGTGACAGGGACACGCACAAAAAATGGACCCCTAATTTCTGGAATTACCCATGTGCGTTGTTTGTTTGGCAGGTGTTTCCTGATCTAAGGGCATGGTGTGAGAAGAGACGACTCTACCTCGTGGATGTCGACTTGAGATGGGTAAAGATGATTTAAAATTCAACCCCATCCTTCCAGCCGATACTTGTAGCTAGAACTTAAAGGTTTAGAAGAACATCTCTTTAGTTTTGAACTGCATGTAATTCTTCTTTCCTCAACCCCATTCCTCAAAGGAAATATTATAAAATTAAGAAACTTGGACAAGCATTACATGTGGAATAACACTGAAACAATTGGAATAGACAAATACGAACTGCATGTCTTATTTCTTCAGGGTGTGCCGAAAGACACAACCTCCGAAGAGACGCTGAGGATGTGTCTGGGAGAGATTGACCGTTGCTACGCCGACAACATCATGCCTTTCTTTCTCAACATGACAAGGTGTGGACAGAGATCTACAGTTGTAGGGCTTATTCGGTCAAGACACGTGTAGCATAACCCTAACACTCCTCAATCCTTCACCTGTTGGAGGACTGAGGAATGTTAGGCATAATCTACGTGTTGTTTGTTCCAATGCTCAACAGTGCGCCCTTGTACAGTATGTCAGTATTAATGTGCAGTAGTTATCAGCCATTTATCAGGGTTTTATGACCAGTTTCCATTAAGAGGAATATTACATGCATGTTGATTACATGTACATGTAAGTGCTCTTCCAACGTGTCCAATGGATCAGTGCCCATTAAGCCTAATGACATGCTTGAAAATATAGCAAAATATGAAAATCATGAAATATTGTAGATACAGCACATCCGCGGAAGAAAATGTCAAAAGACTGTCTATAAATCTATGGTTGTAGGGCTAATTGTAGAAAGAAGAGCATAAAAAGAAATCCAAGGGCCAGCCAATTTCAGCTTTGGCCAGCAATAACGCCTACATGTATACCTGCGGAAGCCGGTAGCTGGCGGTAGCCCTTTCACATGGATACATGTATGTACATGGATAATTCCAGAAATTACGGGTCCTTTTTTTTTTTCGTGTCCCTGTCACATCTGACATGTGATTTTGTAAGTTCAGGACACATTTTCTAATTTCCAAGAGTGATGAATCAATGCAAATTACCTGCCAAACAAGTAGTTACAGTTTGAAATCAATTCCGGTGATATTTCCATGTCAGGTAACAAAGGTCAGATGTAGCAGGGACACGAGCATGTCACACTTTTGGACCCCTAATTTCTGGAATCACCCACATGCACATGTAGCGGTACCTGCGTATCTCAAGGCTCTGGGCTGTAACCACACATCCATACTCGACGTAATTTACAAACTAGGAACCAATCATTAAATTACATGTACTGCTACTGGTCCACCCTGTAATCTGCTGTAGCATGTTCATCCAAACTAGTTATCATCTTTCCTCTTCGTTTTTTTCCAATTCTGTTTTACACATCCGTATCGCTGTCGCAGTGAGCGTTGTGGATGGATCCCAGGTTTAAGTGAAGTCCCCGAGAGCCTTCAGCAGGAGTATCGATGGATCCATGGTTTGTCCGTCACCGAGATGGAGATCATGCATGGAGCTTACCGCAAAGATAACTATAATTGTAAGTACCCTGTGCCAAACTTTACATGCTGTAAAGCCCTCCTCGTTCAAGCTGCCGTAACATTACATTGCTCATGTATTATTTCTTGACGTAAAAAACACTAGCGATTCAAATCAGTCTAAAGGCAAGTTTGTACTTGCTATGAATGTGGACCTTAATGCTGATGTGACATCAGCATTGATGTCCATATCTGCAGTTACCATGACAATATACAAATGGGCATTGTTTGCTTTCACACGAAGCTTCAAAAGTTCCAAAAGTTGAACCAGAAAACTTGACAGGAAGTGGGAAATGAACACATAATTTAGCTGCAGTGGGATGTGAGCCGCCAACCTCCTGAACCCCACAGCAGTGGCCTACCCATTTAGGTTCCCAGCCCTATCTTGCCAGAGTCCCTGTTCATCAGCGTCTTTGTTCATTATATGTTGAACGGCACGGACAAACTGTGAGACCGTCCTCCATGATAGGGCTGCATTTAAGTTGGTTAGAATTTCATCGCCTTGATCACAAGGTCAAAGTTTCAAATCCAGCTCCTGTTATTTTCTAAATTCAACTGAAGATTTGGGGGAAAAATGATTCTCGTGATTTCTGAACTGTTTTCTCTTTGAGGGGGATAAAATTAATGTCTACCTCCTAATTCTGTCGGTTTTGTTTTCTCCTTCTATCCCAGCTTTATTTGCAATACGAGATGCTTCCTTTTTGGACTCGGTGCCAGAGAAATACCACAAGGACTTTGTAGACTCCAATCCAGTCGCTTCCCAGAAACTCAAAGTGCTCAAGGGCATGCTGACAGACAGGTTTCCCGTAAGTTGGTAACCGGCAGAAAATGTGTTCTTCACTTCGCTGTCGTATCCACCATCGTCTATGGATAGTCGTGGGTAGTTACCACTGTACACAAAGTACCCTTCAGGTTTTCTACAAACATCTTTACTCTTTCTGTGAATTTAGTAGTACTGTAGCAATTAATTGAAAAAAGCAAGGGGTCCTGTCAAAGGAATTCCAGACCAAAATTAATTTCTCTTTCGTCCCGTAATCTGTGAATAAATTGTCACACATTATGAGATCTCTAGCCATCCATAGAGCCTCTACGACAAACTATCACACAGAGGAAGTTATCCTGCCGTTTGCAGTGTCCAGAAGAAGAGTGTTTGTGTTAGGAGTAGATCAACTGTATCGATTTGAAAAGACAAAAAAGTGTTTAAATCTTTTGTAAGACAGCAATTTTGTTCTCTTTTGTTGTCCTTTGTGTTGTCGTTTGGAGTGCAATTAACAAGTTAAGTGTGCCAAGACTAACTTTTGTAATATTTGTTTGTGGCGTGGGTGGTGTAGGACAGGGAAGTTTTGTTTCATAGTCCGCAAGGGGAAACAAATATCCTTGTCACGGATCCAACTTTCTCCTTGTTACATCATGGCAGTGCGCTTTACCTGATGATAAGTGTGAGGAGATGGAAGTACTAGTTATGAGAAATGAATTAGCTTGCTGCAAAAGGAAGGGGCACTGAACTCTCATAGGGGTGTAGCCCCCAGAATTTAAGAATTGTCAATCTACACTGGAACCATTTTGGATGTTTTGGCTGACAAGACCTTGGCAAGACACTCAGTCTCCATGGTGTGTAAAAACTGACTTCACTGTTCTTATTCATGACGTACTTCACTTCAAGAATTAGTGAGAGTGCCCTAGCCATGATGTAACACTTTGATTGCCTCCAAAGTATGAACTCCTTCACTGCTAGTCATTTGTGTACTTTACCTGTCGTATCAGACTTCTGGGCTTCAAATCACCATTCTGTGTTAATGGCACTGGAACAGATTATGCCCTGCCCTCGCACTGTGAACTCAACATCCTTAAAGTGCAGGTGTATGTGACTGTACAAGGCAAAGGACTGCACTTGCCACCAGTCTGGCTCCTCCATAATTACATGTGTTCATACCGGGTAGCTAGAGCAACAATGGAAAGTCCGGCTACAGTCTTCCCTCCTTCCCTGAAACTCTACATTAAACCAGGAACAAAATGCATCAACCAGCAAACTGCATATACCCGCTGGCCTTGGTTTTGGCCCAAAGGAAGTTGTTGCTAGGTAACAAAGCACCCTCTGTCGATCGTGTACACAACCTATACCGTTGCAGCCAAGGGCAAGTTCTTGCAACAATCATTTGTCAACCACTGGTCGGTTTTCCCTGGTCTTCTCCGCCCAAAGTATAACCCGAGTGCCGGGCAAATATCAACCAGTGGTCGACAAATGGTCGTCATTCAAACTTGTCCCATATTGGAAAAGGAGCCTTCAAGTGTATGCTATATTGCAGTGAAGGGGTTCATATATATTATTGAAGCACCTGTGAACTGTACTTCAATGCACTCACCCTCTTGTTTTTTTTTCCCAAATCCCATATTTCACAGATCAATGGTTCTTCATCATCACTCCCCTTCTCCTTATCTTCAGCCTCCTCTTCTTTGACCTCGATGGTATCTATCAGTCCATCTCTGTCTCTTTTAGTCAAAACAGTCATTTTTGGTACACGTATCTGGCCATGTGTATGTCAAGGTTGTGAGTATATTGTAACTTGTCTCAAACGCACAGTTGTGGGTGCCGTCAGCACACACGCATCCTTGTTCGGTAGTTTTGTTGACTGCCTGTTTGATGGAGCCTTTGTCTGAATTTGCTTTGAAACATTTGTATTTGTACATAATCTGCTAATCAGAACTTGATTTCGACCAAGAGTGACAGAGATGTTGTATGAAATTCATTTTCTTTAGACTGGAAATTATCAAACCAATCTAATGTAGGAGACGTTGTAGTCACTCCTCATGTGAGGATGGTTTTTAAGGTCAGTCACGTTTCTGAGCGTCCGAGCAATTTTATTCTTCAATTTCACTTTTCACAGGCCTTTCCCCCCTCCAATTTCCAGAACTAATTGTGTGATGTAACAAACGGTGTACCTTCGGTTAAGTAACCCCAGCCCTAACTGTTTACGTCGATGTCATTGTAATCAAGATTCACAAGGTTATTGAAGGTGAAGATGACATAAATTAAAGCAACCGCAGTAAACACTGCTTTCCACCCCTTCTGTCATTTCCAAAAAGTTCCGTTTTGATCATACGGTGATATTGTGTGTTACCAGGATGGCCGGGTGTTCAAGTACCAATGCAAGTTTGGTGGAATTGACGTCGACACTGGCAAAGTGCAAATGGAAGGCCTGGACGAGTTTAAGAATATGGTACGCTCTCTCTCAACAGCTGAAAGGCTCAACGGTATCATGAATGCGTAACGGGACACGCCATGTCTGGAAGCTCATATAATCAGGGCCCACTATTACGATTCTCTCTGGTATAAAGCGAAAAATGTTCACTCACCAAGCAGAGAATTTCCCGCTCACAGTGAGCACATATTTCACAGGTTAGAAAGGAAATTGGGCTTATGTGGATGCATAAATATAAATCCTGTAATAGGATTCTGCACTTCCTCGGTTAGTGTGGAATCATTGGGCTAGCGCTGTGAGCATAGAACGTTAAGCCCAAAATTCAGTGGTTAGCTGGCCACAGAATGGGACCAGATGTTTTGAGAATATTCACATCATTTTTACTTTCCTTTCCTGATTGACAAGTGAACGTTTTAGTCTTAGTATCAGCTGAGTTTGATGTGGGAACCGGGAAGAGTTTCATGAAACAGATGGTTTAAACCCTCAGTGTTATGTAAAGTGCAGCACCCTTGCATCGGGGAGTTATCTCGATTGTTCTGCGCTTTTGGACAGATCTTTCAGTTCTTCAAGACCAGGATCACAGAGCAGTACCCGCTGGACGAGAAGGCCAAGCTGGATCCGTACGAGCAGCAGCGAGAGGCGCACGACGCCTTCATGAAGAGCCGCAGCGCCATCGTCATCGGCAGAAACGACATCTTACAGAAGGTGAGAAATTTGTGGCTGTGGCTTGGTGACTTTAGAATCAAGACAGATCAGTGGTTATTTGGAGGATCAAACATTTGATGTCGCCTGTCTGTTTTAACACGTTATACATATTCATTGGCCCAGCATTCTTCTTTCATTGGTCAGTGTTTCAGCATGTCAGGGAGGTAAATATACATGTATGTAGCTAACTCCCGAATGCATGATCGACATTGCAACTCCTAGCCTTTCTGAAACAGGAAAGTTGTACACCAGTGTTAGCACCTAGACTTCCGATCATGCAACAGTGGTGATTATGTCAAGGTTGGTAGTGGCACCATGCTAGAACTTTCCAGCATCCAGTGAGATGCTGCTCACTGAAGTTACGGCTATGGTTGCGGATAGCAGTAATATCTTCAGCCATGGAAGCCCCTGTCAAGCAGCTTCAGCCAGTTTCCATAGACTCATGTGTTACCGTCAGCTGCAGTCAAGACATTTTGGACACAGCCAGAAGTTAAAGTTTTCAAGTCGGCTTGAGGCATTTTGCCATTGTCAGCAATCTGGCACTGGCGTCGTCGATGTGAAGAAGTTTTTTTTTTTTGATCTCAGATGGAGGAGTATGTGACCGACCTTGGCACAGGGGTGCCCCTGTTATTGCTGGGAGGTCCGGGCTCCGGCAAATCATCCATTATGGCCCGAGTGGCTGACGTAGCAGCGAACAAGGCAGGAAGTGGGGAGATACCAGGGTAAGCGAGGGTACCTGTCAGAACTGATGAGGCTGTTCCGTTCATTTCCTTGTCATCGGAACAGATCTTAATTCTGTTTGACAGACGTGGGGTTGCTTGAACTACATATGGTGATCATTTCAAACTGCACACGATTGTTTTTGTTCGTATACATCTCATTTCTTTTGTCTTTTCATTGATGATCATGAGAGTAAAATACCCCAGGATTGGAATTGTAATGCCTCAAGGTTTCAAGAAGAATCAAATTGTTGGTTCTGGGACGGCTGTCGATAACTTGTTGCGTCTTTGTGAATTCCTTGACATTGATGAGACGACAACACGTAACATTCTGAATGAACATCGTGTACTCATATTTAGGGCTGAGTCAGTTCAAGTAATTCACTATTCGAATATTCAACCTTCAATTGGATCGAATATCCGGATATTCAGTCGCACCGACCGGCAGATTGTTGATGAACAAACCATACATACAAAATCAGTTGCAATAACACACGCAATTGTACATTATTATCAAAGTAATAGCTTCCCATACTAGGAGTATGTCCAGCCATAATTTAGCAAGATTTAAGAGATAAACAAGACTTCTTGCGCTGTTGAAAATTTCTATTCCTTTTAAATTGTTTAATGAACAATTTACTTTTTAAATGGTTGCAAGATTTCTGTTGCTTTTCATTTGAACCCAGCAGAAAAGAAATTGCTTGAACACTCTGAAATGTGTATAATTGACCATTTATTTTGTATTTTCATGTAGCGGTGGTGAAAAGGGCTGGCATGTCTTTTATCACTTTGTCGGCGCTATTCCAGGATCCACGGACGTCGAGAAAATGCTGAAGCGATTACTGAGGGAGTTGAAAATGTGCAATGTGAGTACAAGGCCAAGCTGCCCGGTGCAACACTTCCAATTTGTCAGATGATTTTCTAAAACTTCCATTCGAAATAGAAGTGATCCGACAGGAGTAAGGAAACCTTTTCATTGCGCCCATGTTTCTCATAATTGTTGATAAAGCCGACACCGTGTAGTTGCAGTAAGCGGTATCCTTACTGATGCAGGGTCAGTCAAATTGACCCCTTCGCTCTGGGAGACGGCGAGAGCCGCAGCTTTGTGTGAGGATTAGTGCATACCACACATACAGTCTATTCACCATGCAGCTGCTGGTTCAATGGGGCCTGCTGCTGGACAGAGCTTTGCATACTGGGCATACATGTACCACAGCCCGGCAGTCACGGTCAAAAGAATCCCAGGCGTGAAGAGGTTAATATCTGTGTCCAGAGGGATGAATTGTCTGTCCGTTTCCTGCTAGGATTCCAACATGCCCAAGGATTACGAGACGGCTGCCCAACTTGTTGGAAGTGTCCTGTCCAATCCAAACTCCAGTCCGGTCATCATCATCATAGATGCGCTGAACCAGGTGAGGATTTTTAACCCAAAGCAGAATTCCACATTCCGCTTCTTTCACCTGAGTTAAATCGGTTGCAACCGATTTTGTAATATTCATCGGACTGGTTTTCCAATGCCACTGTGAAACTTTTGGAATCTTTCACTGCACAATCCTATTTTCCCTAAATAGCTGAACGAAGACAAGGTGACCTCCATCCTGAGCTGGTTGCCCCGGAAACTGGCCCCCCAGGTGCGCTGCATCTTTTCCACGATCGATGACACCCCTCCCCACCGTCTGCTGAAGGACAGGAACGTTAAGCCTGAAGAGTTGGCTGTCACGCCACTCGACATGGATTCCAGGAAGGTTGGTTTGGGGTCCGATGAAGATCCCCTGAGTTTTGTAGTTGGGCAATTCCAGAAATTAGGGATCCAAAAGTGTGACATTTTTGTGTCCCTGTTACATTTGACCTTTGTTATTTGACATGAAAATATCGCTGGAATTGATTTCAAACTATTACTATTTGTTTGGCAGGTAATTTGCATTAATTCATCACTCTTGGAAATTAGAAAATGTGTTCTGAACTTACAAAATCATATATGTCAGATGTGACAGGGACACGAAAAAACCGGACCCCTAATTTCTGGAATTACCCAGTTATCTCAATACAATTTGAGTTGTGGACACTAAGGACGAGTAAAATTTCCGTGGGATGACATCCACTTCATGTGAAAGTACCGACAAAAAGAGGTGAAGATAGGTGCAAGATATCTTGTCCATTCCCCGTATGCCATATGCACCTAAGAGTCTCATAAACTGAGATCGTTGCTTATTGAAAATGCTGCCTGTCTCTCATCTTGGTGCCATTAGGAAATTTCAGTTATCGTGCAACATCATTTCCCATTTTTATGATGACTAACCTGGAAAAGGAAGAGCACCAACATTAGACACACCTGAGTATTCAATTGATTAATAATTGAATGAAAAATATGGTTTTTTGTGGTTTGATTGTGTGCACAGTGCCACGGAGTGCACTTATAATCATTCTCAAGCTGTTAAGATGAAAAAATGAGAGATTGTTGAGGTGTGTGGCAAAAGCCAGCTGGGAACCAGTCGTAGAAAGTGCGCATTTGTGCGTAGCATTTGGGCCGGTAACCTGTTGTCACCAACCAGATTTATGTGCATTGAAAAGGCAGGTACATGTACTTTAGAACTATAGATAATTAACGCTGCACTTTTGGTAAATTATTTCGAGAAATAATTCTTGGCACGAATGAAACTTTGAGATCAGACCCACTGAATGTCTTTTGCCTTTGTGTCGTTCTGTTGCCGTGCCAACAGGAGATAGTTCGGGAGATCCTCGGCCGCTACAACAAGCGACTGGACGCGGAGCAGATGGCAAGCCTGCTGGGTAAGGATTCCTCCCAGAATCCCCTCTGGTTGGCCATCGCCTGCGAGGAGCTTCGCGTCTACGGAGACTTCAGCACCATCACCAAGAAGATCAACTCCCTGTCTGACGGCTTGTTAAAGTGAGTGCAACGATGTAGAGGGCTCCGTTCATTTTGGCTTCAAGTTTGCCCTCTTTAAAAGGATTGCACGGACGTCCGGTGGAGGCATTTTGTCTGTGAATTCCACTTGTTGACGTCAGTTCAGAGATTTCCATTCCATTCTAATGTCATTTTGCACTGACATAGGTTTCTCAATGATGACGCAAGTCAAAGTGGTATGCAAGAATTTTTGGAAGTTAATACGGAGATTATGGGTCCACACATTTGTTCTCTGGCTTTTGGCCACGAATATCCAAGAAATTGTTATGTGACTTTGACTTTTGGAAGCAGTTGTAGGAATGTCTTTTGCAATCCTTTTAGATGAGCTTGGCTTGTTCGGATATGTTCAGACTTGTCTTCAGCATGTTGACAATAATTTGAAATGGACATGTCACTGGAGACATCTCTGTTTCAGACATTTTTACATTTGGAAGTGACTTTAATACATGTAAAATTTTCACATGTCTATTGCAGGCAATTTGATTAAAGGTACATCTAGGTTATTCATTGATCAATGCTTTAACTATATGCCAGCAAGCCAATTTCTGACAAAAAAGCCAGGTTTAGACAAGGCCCAGCTGTTGCTGTTCAGGTCGTGTGGATCACTTTTTACTGTTGCGCAGTTTGCTGAGCCAAGTCCTGGCGCGCTTCGAGCAGGAGAATGGTGGTTACCTGGTGGTGGCCACCCTCTCGCTCCTGGAGTGCTCCTCCAACGGACTGCTGGAGACAGAGCTGCTCTCTATCCTGGGCAGCGATGACAACATGTCCATCCTCACCAAGAAGGGCCACCGCAAGGACCGGGGCCAGGAGAAGACCCGAGGTGAGCCCCTGCCGGCCATCAAGTGGTCGATGGTGTACCGGGCTCTCCGGCCGTTCCTCAGGCCGTTCGGGGACAGCGGGGAAGGGCGGCTGGACTTCTACCATCGGTCTCTCAGCAAATCCGTCCGGCAAAAGTGAGCTCATTTCTTCTCTTTTTTTTAGCGGTCTTCAAACGTAAGAATTGCTCGGTAATCATTAACAATGAATATCCATAATAGCTGATTATCATATCTTCATCTTTGATAACTTGTGCAGTCTGAATTTGTTGAATCTCTTTATTAGGAAAAAAATTTTCTTTATCTGAAAAAAATGACAAGGTTGCTCATAATTGGATCAATATGGGAGGAACTAGTAAGCTTTGTAACAGTAACTCAAAAGGACTTGTATTTCTTGCTCTTATCAACTGTCATGACTGTTGAGACAAAGCCGCTTGACGAAACCAGCTTCTTAGCTTCGCCATGCCTGAGTTCCGGCGCCCTGTGCCGTCCAGTTTGCAATTCCTCACAACTCCTCCTCATCACCTGACTGACGGGAAAGAATGTGCTAAGCAGTGGGACGAACGGTCACTCCACGTGGGAACGACATTTATACGTGTTGTTAACTTTGTGTTTTCGGCAGATATTTTGGGCTCAAACCGGGCCAAGAAGGGGGCTCAGACAAAATGAGCAAGTGGTGGCACCAGGTGCTGGCCGACTTCTTCGAGCACGAGCAGAACATGGACCGGAAAGTTGAGGTGAGATAAAAACCGGGATGAGAAAAGTGACATTTCTGGACAATAACGCCTCAGACGTATAAGCAAAAATTTTCGAATGATTCCCCTGTTTGCTGTAGGCAAGTTTGAAGAAGAACTAAGATCTTCTAAGATATGCTCAAGAGACAATACAAGTCGTTCCTGGTTTTCAGAGTCTCTCAAAAAAGGCACGTCAGGGAGTTCTTTTGAAATAGATGAAAAAACAATACGTTCCACAAAAATTCAGTTGATTCCATTATACATCTTTTCTGTACAAATCCTTTCTAATGTATTTGAGAGCAAGCCAGTGATGTTTGCCATCGGTATTTTATCTGAACTTGCAGTCTCCCGTGTTCTTCTCCAAGAGAATGTTTTTGCAGAAAAAAGTCCACTCATACGCTGCGGCCAAGATCATACATATCTCTCCAATCACTGGCTTGTCAAAAAAAGTAGTTTGCACTGACCTGCACTGTCAAGAGCCCTTGATTTGATTTAACCATTTTTAGTTGGCTTCATTGCTGTGTAAATCACACCATGAATCAGGCCAACTGTGAAGAAATTCCTTCACAGACCCATCTGTCGCTTGCTTGCAGGAATATCCATACCAACTGGTGAAGACGCACGACCAGGAGAGGTTAGCGCGATGCCTGACTGAGTGGCCCGTGCTGGATCGACTCTTTGACGAGGAGTACAGCTCACAGCTGCTAGCCTACTGGAGGGAGGTACGACAGAAGCGGCTGGAAACCAAGACCAATATTAAACTCAAGGCCTTGACCACAGCAGCTGATTCAACCAGTTTGAAGTTAGGAATCAAGAGGATTAAGCTGAAAAACGGAGGCCAAAAAAGTGCGAAGAGCAATAACGGACTTTCCTCAACAAATCAAACGATTTTGCACCAAGCGAATAAGTACCCCGTTGTACTGATGGCTCGTGGAATGGCCAAATTCTTTTGTACCGTTCTTAAAACAGGCATATTCATTTTTACTCCTAACATTTGTTTGGGGGACCAAGATGTTTATCAAGCAAGTGCTAATAGATCTTGGCACCAAACTTTAAGTGGCGGTTCGTTTGAATGATCCTTTTCAGATTGATAAGGACGGGAAATACTCCAAGATGGAGGAGAACTACAGGGCGAGTCTGAAAGATCTCGAGGCACGACCGGGCATCTCGCAAGAGGAAATCTCCATGAGAAATGAGAACATTGCAAGACTTTTGTAAGTGAAAATGCCAGAGCGGCGCTTGATATAAAGGCTTTATCTAATGATGCTCATGGCGATGGGGGAGTGGTTGGGTTTATTATGTCCTTTCCATGGAGCAAACCGTAGTTTACAGGTTGGATTTTCCCACTTTTGTTGGCAACCTCCTGTGCTCATACCTTACCCTTTCAAAATGCGAGAGAAAAATGGCGACTGTCGCTGTAGAACTAACTGTCAGTTGCCAGTTCTGCTGTGGCTTTGTTGACTTGAAAAAATAGCGTAAGTAGATGAAGCTCGTCAGTGTGGATCATTCTCCTACCCTAAGCCTCAAAGTACACTCCTCGTGTAAACGTCAGTCCTTAGATATGGGGTCAAAGTCAGAATCTAATCCAGCCACCCGTCCTAAGGACAGGCAAAGACAAATTTGAACAGACGGTTTTGGCTTGTTCACAAATTTACAATCTCCCATTTTGTCGTGAATCTTTTGACACCGGTGAACAAGCCTTCTCATTGTCGTCTGAAATACTGGGAGCAGTTGTAGCATGGCCTCAGATAGCAGCCAGGAGTGCGAGGTTTAAAGACTTCCCTGGGAGAGGACAGACAGTCTTTGACTTTGGCTGGCAGATATTTCCATCCTAGATGAAACCCTGGTGCGCGTGTTGTTCAAACCTGCTGTGATTTCAAATGGGCAGTATCAGTAGGAAGGCCTACCATACGACTTATGAACAGGTTAAGAACTTCAGCGAAAGCTAGTGCTATTCTGAGGCTGTGTCCAAATTATGTGGCTATGGCTAGATGAAACGCATGCACCTAGGGAAGCCATGCCCAAGCGGCTACAACATTTCCCATGGACTTGTGTGCCAATTGTCAGCCACAGTCCCATGCTAACTCTCATGCTTGGATCACAACATTCGGGCTTCAGCCATTTCCCATAGACTTGACTGTTGCAGTTAGCCGCAGCCTCATGCTAACTCTCACGGTTCAATCACAGCATTCAGGCAGGTCTATACAACCACGCAAAGGATCTCATAGACAAGGCAGTGTCCCTAGAGCAAGAGCACCTGGGTTCCAGACCAGAGAGAATGGTGGAGCTCTATGCACTCATGGCCGAGCTTTATGACGAGGTGGGTAAAATGAACCTGGTTACTGAAACCAGTTAGGTACTTGTTATCCAGGTTTTGTGACCCAAATGTATAACCAAGCCAGGACCTTGTGTAATAAACCACCGTCAACTAGTAGAGGACGGTTATCTGGTTTATGGTATGGGTAATAGTTAACCACTTCGTGCCGGGGCATTTTTCA